ACCATGATGAGCTGTTCAACACCGGCACATTGATGAGCTGTTCAACACTGGCACCATGATGAGCTGTTTAAAACGGCACCATGATGAGCTGTTCAACACTGGCACCATGATGAGCTGTTCAAGACCGGCACCGCGATTAGCTGTTCAACACTGGCACCGCGATGAGCTGTTCAACACTGGCACCATGATGAGCTGTTCAAGACCGGCACCATGATGAGCTGTTCAACACTGGCACCGCGATGAGCTGTTCAAGACCGGCACCATGATGAGCTGTTCAACGCTGGCACCATGATGAGCTGTTCAACACTGGCACCATGATGAGCTAGCTGTTTAACACTGGCACCATGATGAGCTAGCTGTTTAACACTGGCACCACGGTGAGCCAGTAGCTAGAAGTTGGGTCTGCCAGCCTGGAGGTCACGCTTCCATGTCCTTTCCGAGGTTAGGGGTTTGCCCTGGCCTCCCAGCCCATACTGAGCAATAGACGCGTTTTGAAAGTTAAGTCAGCCTGTATGGTTTTGATCGTACCATGAATCAAGTGCGGATTTGTCTATTCAAGTAAGAACCTGACACCACGTACCCAGTTTACAACCAAAGGCCATACCATGAATCAAGTGCGGATTTGTCTATTCAAGTAAGAACCTGACACCACGTACCAAGTTTACAACCAAAGGCCATACCATGAATCAAGTGCGGATTTGTCTATTCAAGTAAGAACCTGACACCACGTACCAAGTTTACAACCAAAGGCCATACCATGAATCAAGTGCGGATTTGTCTATTCAAGTAAGAACCTGACACCACGTACCAAGTTTACAACCAAAGGCCATACCATGAATCAAGTGCGGATTTGTCTATTCAAGTAAGAACCTGACACCACGTACCCAGTTTACAACCAAAGGCCATACCATGAATCAAGTGCGGATTTGTCTATTCAAGTAAGAACCTGACACCACGTACCCAGTTTACAACCAAAGGCCATACCATGAATCAAGTGCGGATTTGTCTATTCAAGTAAGAACCTGACACCACGTACCCTGTTTACAACCAAAGGCCATATCATGTGTTTGTTTACTGTATACCAAACAAACCTTGCCCTCTGTGGCTTCTAGCTATAAAGACATCATAATTCCGACATACACAGCTGTAGGCTATTTAGCAAAAGACTGCTTTGCGTTAACTTCAACATTAGTGTATCGTTTCACGGCACACCTCACAGCTAACCAAACACAGAAAGAATAACAAAAATATACAGCAGTTTATTTGTTAAAATTTGTGTCACATAATTATCATTTTCACCGCACATCTCGTATTGTATTTTGAATGAGGCAGAAATGTGTGGGCTGTGAGAAACAACTTCCCCTGTTTGGGTGGGCCGCTATTAACCGATTGAAGAACACTGCTATAAAAAATATGCAGTTAACCAAAATGGCTCAAGGCCGGGCGAACAAATGTCCTTTTAATTACAGCACAGTTTATGGGAGCTGTATTTCATTTTAGTAATTACAATTTCAATCATGTTCTTTCTGTAGGTAAATATTCTGTCGTGTGCAGTGTATTGCTTCCATATCTCTGTGCTTCCTTTTCTCTGTACTTCCCTTTCTCTGTACTTCCCTTTCTCTGTACTTCCCTTTCTCTGTACTTCCCTTTCTCTGTACTTCATTTTCTCCGTACTTCCCCTTCTCTGTACTTCCCTTTCTCTGTACTTCCCTTTCTCTGTACTTCCCCTGAAGTCTCTTGGGCCATTCTCTCTTGATATTATTTAGATGTTATAGTTGTTGTTGTTGTTGTTGTTACATTCGGTATTATTAGTTAGCGCAGATGACAGTTTAGGGCAGTGATGTTCGGCTCATTTATCCAGGGGCCACAATTTAGAAAATGGGGATCATCGTGGGCCAGAAGCCCAAGTCCTAGCATAGAAAGATCAGTAATCAGTACAACTGGCAATAATCCGAGTGTCACTTGCTAGACCTCTGCAGGCCACATTACGCCCGCGGACTGCCAGTTGAATAGCCTGGTTTGGGGTATTCTTTGTATTTCGTTTATTTTCTTTTTTTACAATATGTGTATCGTCTGCCACTGCTGCTTTTGCCGCCAAGGTTTACAAAGTTGGTGCAGATTTTTTGCCATTGTAAGAAATCCTCCCTCTTCTCGTTCAGTTTTGTAGTGTCCAGAGTTTGTAGATCTCAGCAAACTTTATCGGAAACATCTTAAGTCAGGATTTCCTTCATTGCATGTCACCTGGTGTCCTAGCGGGAGTGAAAGGCTGCCGTTGCCAGCTGGATGCGTGAGTCTGTTGGAGAATTCTTGATGGACCTGGTGTCTAAACCTACTAGAGAATTGGTAGTTAGCTGTGAGCCTGAATCTTCTAGGTAGGTATTGGTTGACCTGGTTTTTGAACCTTCGAAATAATTGCCGATTCGCCTGTGTCTCTTCTTCTTTGTGTTCGGGTTCGTAGCTCAGGTCAGACCATCAGGTGGGTGGCCTCTATGAACTGGCATGTCAGTAGCAGGTCCTTCATTGTTCCCCATAGCTTGCTCTGCACACTTTGCTCTTGTGGCCAGGTGTTTTTTCAAAGTTGTAGGTAGAGTGGGCAGGTCTGCAGAATGTGCCCAGGTGTTTGTGGTCCTGTCTGACCAGCGCAATGAGTTGGGAGTGTCCTGTTTAGCGTTTGATCCTCCCTAAGAATTATTGATTGTCTTGGTGTCTGACCCTCAATCGTTTTAAAAATCACATCCCTTTAAACGCGTGCTTTATTTGTTTAGATCGTAAGATTCACTGACAGACAACAGAATAGGTTGGCTACGAGATGTCAAAACTGTGACATGTGATGTCAGTGGCTTATTACGTAATCTTGCTGTTATCGTGTCCGCGTCTGTGACTTGGGCGTTGTGAACGCGCTTCGTAATGCCATGTTGCCGTGCTTGACCCCAGCTACCGACATTTGGGAGGAGCGTGCCTTGCGTTGGTTTTGTCAGTGGTACCGAGAGTTGACCGTTGAGGCTTGCAATGGCAAACTGCTGAACGCAAACGTTTCCTAGAAAAACCACAACAGCTAAGCTGGGGTTGGTTTTGTAAAGTCCTGTAAAGGAAAGAGAACTATTAACTCTCATCGTCTAAAGTGCAACGTTTGCTTCGCTTATCCTGCTGTTAATTTCTATTGGCTCTCCTTTGAATCGTTCCCCAAAATGGCGGCTTAAATATTATGGCGTTCGAAAGAGAGCTAAATTGGCCAATTTCTGGCCATAAAATATCCAAAAATATCCGAATGCGGGTCAGTTCTAATAAAAATATACGTGCCGGCTCCGGATAACGAAACAAATGCTCTGACAGGGTCTCAGCGATACGTTGCTTGCCGACCTGCTTCTGCGAGTGTGCCTCACCACCGAGCTAAACTAGATGGCTGGGACTCCCGAGCGGCAGCTAGCGCATCTCCTGCAACTTCCTCAAATTACTGTACTCGTGAGTCCCAGGCACCTAGTTAAGCCCCCATCATAGCCACGCGTAGCGGCGCCGGGGATACGCTCAGCGATGAGTTTAATCGCGTTTGGCGCATGACAACAAGTCTGACATCTACCGCTGCTAAATCCTCCAATCGGAGGAACACAGTATTGCCAATCGGCTTTCATCGTCTGTAATGTCTCGAAATTGGTCAACGGTCGCTAATATCGTCTTTGCCGATATCGTCTGCTAGTATCGTCTGCAGAAAGGCTCGAAATTGTTGTCAACGGTCGGTATTTATCGTCTGCTACTAGTACCGTGTGCAAATGTTGATATTGATTGTCAAGTAATCCTAGTTTTGCCGCGATTTGTTCCTTGGCAGAAAGTCCATATTTTAGATATACGCGAACACCGTCGTTCGGATATTTTTGGATATTTTATGGCCAGAATGTGGCATGCCGCCATTTTGGGGAATGATTCAAAGGAGCACCTTTCTATTTATATATTTTGAAACATTATTCAAAAACTGTGTCGTAATCTCCATCTAAAAAAAAAAAAAAAACTAACGGGAAACAAATTTTAAGAACCCACATTTTTATAAACTACAACCTGTTTTTTAATTTATCTACCTAGGTGAATAACTTGAAAATGAAACAAATCGGAAAAATTGATTAGTCTTCTGTTTCTCCCATTGATTTCATCTGATTTCTTTTGCAAGGAGCTGGTAGATGTCATGCTTCAATTTCCTGATGAAATTTCTCCGTGGTTTTTTCATTTCTTATTTTTGTAATGTTTCTCTCAAGAAGTGTGGTTGTCAGAGATTTTTTGTTTTCTTTTCCATGCGATTTCCAGTTAAGGTTTTTAACACTGCTACCGAAAGAGTCAAGTTACTTTTTTGTGGAGAAATAGCAAAATCATAGGATGAATCATGACAACAGCAATAAGTAGAAGACAACCAGAGAAGTGGAGAGTAGAAAAAACAAAGCAGAACAAAGGGATGGTAAAAATGGGGAGGGGAAGTGAGGATGAGGAGGTCGAGGAGAAACAGAAGAAAACGAAAGAAGAAAAAGAAGAAGAGGAGGAGGAGGTGATAGTTGCAGTGGTAGTATCGGTGGTAGTGGTGGTGGTAGTGGTGGTGGTGGTGGTGGTGGCAGTAGTAGTAGTAGTAGTAGTAGTTGTAGTAGTAGTAGTAGTATTTGTAGTAGTAGTAGTGGTGGTGGTAGTAGTAGTAGTAGTAGTAGTAGTAGTAGTAGTAGTAGTAGTAGTAGTAGTAGTAGTAGTAGTAGTAGTAGTAGTAGTTGTATTAATAGTAGTAGTAGTAGTAGTAGTAGTAGTAGTAGTAGTAGTAGTAGTAGTAGTAGTAGTAGTAATAGTAGTAGTAGTAGTTGTAGTAGTGGTGATGGTGGTGGTGGTGGTGGTGGTAGTAATAGTAGTTGTTATTGTTGTTGTTGTTAAGCTAAACTTTCGTCCATTTATGGTGATATATAACCTGTCATTCTTGGCCATTGCTATATTCAGAAATCCCTGCACACTCGCTACACTGTAAGAACGTTGCTACAATGAATCTTCATCTGCTGACAAGCTTGCTCGTGACTCTGACAAATGCTGCATTCGAGAGTAAGTAGCCAAACGCTGCAACTTTGTTTCTGTCGACTTGTGTTGTTGCTATGTCTTTCCTTGTTGTCAGTGCCATTATCCGTCGTTGTTTAGCAATAGTTGATAACCAGGTATTTAGGAACTCCCGAAGCAGTGGGGACACTGTGAATAATACACTAGCATGCCAGGAAAGAGGAACAGGCTCAAATCTCCATCAAGACAAGTTAAAAGTTGACAAGGAAGTAAAAGCGATTCGCGGGACACTTACCACATTGCCTAGAGAATGGCGATTGGATTAAACAAATTTGAAGCTACCAACATATGTACTATGGCTTCTCAAATGAGTAGAAACTAGATTCTTTAGTGTCTACAAAAAAAAGTAAGAAATGTAAGAACAAGGCAATGTTATGTGGCTGGAGAATGTATACTGGTGTACGAAACTGATGACAACAACTGTGCGTGTGTGTGTGTGTGTGTGTGTGTGTATGTGTGTGTGTGGGTGGATGCACAGAAACAAGGATTTAATGAACGAATGCTGCTAGTGTAGGGAAACATTCGACAACTGAACAAGACACATACACACACACACATACACGCACCCACACACAGACACACACAGACACACACAGACACACACACAAACACACACACACACACACACAACGAGGATTGTCTGGGATTAGTCTGGATAAAATATGATACCACCAAGAAATGCTTACGTCACATCAGCTGGGGAGAATGTAGGGGTGAAGACTGATGCTTGGCTAGAGAGGATCGTTGGGGTCAAGACTGGTACTGGGCTTGGGGATCGTTGGGATCATGTTTAGTGCTGGACTAGAGGGGGTCGTTGGATCAAGACTGGTGCTGGTCTAGAGGGGGTCGTTGGGTTCAAGAGTGGTGCTGGTCTAGAGGGGGTCGTTGGGTTCAAGACTGGTACTGGTCTAGAGAGGATCGTTGGGGTCAAGACTGGTACTGGGCTTGGGGATCGTTGGGATCATGACTAGTGCTCGTCTAGAGGGGGTCGTTGGGTTCATGACTGGTGCTGCTCTAGAGGGGGTCGTTGGGGTCAAGACTGGTGCTGGTCTAGAGGGGGTCGTTTGGTTCAAGACTGGTGCTGGTCTAGAGGGGGTCGTTTGGTTCAAGACTGGTGATGGTCTAGTGGGGGTCGGTGGGTTCAAGACTGGTGATGGTCTAGAGGGGGTCGTTTGGTTCAAGACTGGTGCTGGGCTAGAGGGGGTCGTTGGGTTCAAGACTGGTGCTGGTCTAAAGGGGGTCGTTGGGTTCAAGACTGGTGCTGGGCTAGAGGGGGTCGTTTGGTTCAAGACTGGTGCTGGGCTAGAGGGGGTCGTTTGGTTCAAGACTGGTGCTGGTCTAGAGGGGGTCGTTTGGTTCAAGACTGGTGATGGTCTAGAGGGGGTCGTTTGGTTCAAGACTGGTGATGGTCTAGAGGGGGTCGGTGGGTTCAAGACTGGTGATGGTCTAGAGGGGGTCGTTTGGTTCAAGACTGGTGCTGGGCTAGACGGGTTCGTTGGGTTTAAGACTGGTGCTGGTCTAAAGGGGGTCGTTTGGTTCAAGACTGGTGCTGGGCTAGAGGGGGTCGTTTGATTCAAGAATGGTGCTGGGCTAGAGGGGGTCGTTTGGTTCAAGACTGGTGCTGGTCTAGAGGGGGTCGTTTGGTTCAAGACTGGTGATGGTCTAGAGGGGGTCGGTGGGTTTAAGACTGGTGATGGTCTAGAGGGGGTCGTTTGGTTCAATACTGGAGATGGTCTAGAGGGGGTCGTTTGGTTCAAGACTGGTGCTGGGCTAGAGGGGGGTCGTTTGGTTCAAGACTGGTGCTGGTCTAGAGGGGGTCGTTTGGTTCAAGACTGGTGCTGGACTAGAGGGGTTCGTTTGGTTCAAGACTTGTGATGGTCTAGAGGGGGTTGTTGGGTTCAAGACTGGTGCTGGACTAGATGGGGTTGTTGGGTTCAAGACTGGTGCTGGTCTAGAGGGGGTCGTTGGGTTCAAGACTGGTGCTGGTCTAAAGGGGGTCGTTTGGTTCAAGACTGGTGCTGGTCTAGAGGGGGTCGTTTGGTTCAAGACTGGTGATGGTCTAGAGGGGGTCGGTGGGTTCAAGACTGGTGATGGTCTAGAGGGGGTCGTTTGGTTCAAGACTGGTGCTGGGCTAGAGGGGGTCGTTGGGTTCAAGACTGGTGCTGGGCTAGAGGGGGTCGTTTGGTTCAAGACTGGTGCTGGTCTAAAGGGGGTCGTTTGGTTCAAGACTGGTGCTGGTCTAAAGGGGGTCGTTTGGTTCAAGACTGGTGATGGTCTAGAGGGGGTCGGTGGGTTCAAGACTGGTGATGGTCTAGAGGGGGTCGGTGGGTTCAAGACTGGTGATGGTCTAGAAAGGGTCGTTTGGTTCAAGACTGGTGATGGTCTAAAGGGGGTCGTTTGGTTCAAGACTGGTGCTGGGCTAGAGGGGGTCGTTTGGTTCAAGACTGGTGCTGGGCTAGATGGGGTCGTTTGGTTCAAGACTGGTGCTGGGCTAGATGGGGTCGTTTGGTTCAAGACTGGTGATGGTCTAGAGGGGGTCGTTTGGTTCAAGACTGGTGCTGGTCTAGAGGTGGTCGGTGGGTTCAAGACTGGTGATGGTCTAGAGGGGGTCGTTTGGTTCAAGACTGGTGCTGGTCTAGAGGGGGTCGGTGGGTTCAAGACTGGTATTGAGCTAGAGGGAGTCGGTGGGTTCAAGACTGGTGTTGAGCTAGAGGGAGTCGGTGGGTTCAAGACTGGTGTTGAGCTAGAGGGAGTCGGTGGGTTCAAGACTGGTGTTGAGCTAGAGGGAGTCGGTGGGTTCAAGACTGGTGTTGAGCTAGAGGGAGTCGGTGGGTTCAAGACTGGTGTTGAGCTAGAGGGAGTCGGTGGGTTCAAGACTGGTGTTGAGCTAGAGGGAGTCGGTGGGTTCAAGACTGGTGCTGGTCTAGAGGGGGTCGGTGGGTTCAAGAGTGTGCTGGTCTAGAGGAGGTCGTTGAGATCAAGACTAGTGCTTTGCTAGAGGGGTTCGTTGGGGATAAGGTTGATGCTGTGCCAGAGCGGGTCGATGGGTTCAAGACTGGTGTTGGGCTAGAGGGGGTCGTTGGGTTCAAGACTGGTGTTGGGCTAGAGGGGTCGTTGGGTTCAAGACTAGTGTTGGGCTAGAGGTCGTTGGGTTCAAGACTAGTGTTAGGCTAGAGGGGGTCCTCCTTTTTTCATCACATAACCAAAGAACTTTGTCTCATTCTCATTGTTGAATATAATGTTCTACTTTCATTAGCCTTATTCTGACAGTCCAAGGTATTCTCAATATTCTTCTCAAGAACCACATCTCAGTAGCCTCCAAACTCTTCTTAATTTGTTTGCTCACATTCCAAGATTCGCTACCATGCTGCTTCGTTTATTGACAACTATCTCTGCTATATTTGGTGCTCTTGCCAAGGTAGTAAACTTCCAACATCCTCTCTCTCTTGGTGTCCCACTGTCTACATCCTCTCTCTTGGTGTCCCACTGTCTACATCCTCTCTCTTGGTGTCCCACTGTCTACAACCTCTCTCTTGGTGTCCCACTGTCTACATCCTCTCTCTTGGTGTCCCACTGTCTACATCCTCTCTCTTGGTGTCCCACTGTCTACATCCTCTCTCTTGGTGTCCCACTGTCTACATTGTCTCTCTTGGTGTCCCACTGTCTACATCCTCTCTCTTGGTTGGTGTCCCACTGTCTACATCCTCTCTCTTGGTTGGTGTCCCACTGTCTACATCCTCTCTCTTGGTGTCCCACTGTCTACATCCTCTCTCTTGGTGTCCCACTGTCTACATCCTCTCTCTTGGTGTCCCACTGTCTACATTGTCTCTCTTGGTGTCCCACTGTCTACATTGTCTCTCTTGGTGTCGGACTGTCTACATCCTCTCTCTTGGTGTCCCACTGTCTACACCCTCTCTCTTGGTGTCCCACTGTCTACATCCTCTCTCTTGGTGTCCCACTGTCTACATCCTCTCTCTTGGTGCCTCACTGTCTACATCCACTCTCTTGGTGTCCCACTGTCCACATCCTCTCTCTTGGTGTCCCACTGTCCACATCCTCTCTCTTGGTGTCCCACTGTCCACATCCTCTCTCTTGGTGTCCCACTGTCCACATCCTCTCTCTTGGTGTCCCACTGTCTACATCCTCTCTCTTGGTGTCCCACTGTCTACATCCTCTCTCTTGGTGTCCCACTGTCTACATCCTCTCTCTTGGTGTCCCACTGTCCACATCCTCTCTCTTGGTGTCCCACTGTCCACATCCTCTCTCTTGGTGTCCCACTGTCCACATCCTCTCTCTTGGTGTCCCACTGTCCACATCCTCTCTCTTGGTGTCCCACTGTCTACATCCTCTCTCTTGGTGTCCCACTGTCTACATTGTCTCTCTTGGTGTCCCACTGTCTACATTGTCTCTCTTGGTGTCCCACTGTCTACATCCTCTCTCTTGGTGTCCCACTGTCTACACCCTCTCTCTTGGTGTCCCACTGTCTACATCCTCTCTCTTGGTGTCCCACTGTCTACATCCTCTCTCTTGGTGCCTCACTGTCTACATCCACTCTCTTGGTGTCCCACTGTCCACATCCTCTCTCTTGGTGTCCCACTGTCCACATCCTCTCTCTTGGTGTCCCACTGTCCACATTCTCTCTCTTGGTGTCCCACTGTCCACATCCTCTCTCTTGGTGTCCCACTGTCTACATCCTCTCTCTTGGTGTCCCACTGTCTACATCCTCTCTCTTGGTGTCCCACTGTCTACATCCTCTCTCTTGGTGTCCCACTGTCCACATCCTCTCTCTTGGTGTCCCACTGTCCACATCCTCTCTCTTGGTGTCCCACTGTCCACATCCTCTCTCTTGGTGTCCCACTGTCCACATCCTCTCTCTTGGTGTCCCACTGTCTACATCCTCTCTCTTGGTGTCCCACTGTCTACATCCTCTCTCTTGGTGTCCCACTGTCTACATCCTCTCTCTTGGTGTCCCACTGTCCACATCCTCTCTCTTGGTGTCCCACTGCCCACATCCTCTCTCTTGGTGTCCCACTGTCTACATCCTCTATCTTGGTGTCCCACTGTCTACATCCTCTATCTTGGTGTCCCACTGTCTACATCCTCTCTCTTGGTGTCCCACTGTCCACATCCTCTCTCTTGGTGTCCCACTGTCTACATCCTCTCTCTTGGTGTCCCACTGTCTACATCCTCTCTCTTGGTGTCCTACTGTCTACATCCTCTCTCTTGGTGTCCAACTGTCTACATCCTCTCTCTTGGTGTCCCACTGTCTACCTCCTCTATCTTGGTGCCTCACTGTCTACATCCTCTCTCTTGGTGTCCCACTGTCCACATCCTCTCTCTTGGTGTCCAACTGTCTACATCCTCTCTCTTGGTGCCTCACTGTCTACATCCTCTCTACAACGATGCAACTCCAAACTGAGCCGTAAAAGCCCACGAGGTTCTAACGTGTCGGAATAAAGTAACGTTGATCTCCCCACGCCCCGCGCTTATACACAAGCTCACTTCTGATTGGTTACGGGGATGTTCTGCAATGCCGTTGAAATCGTGCATTGTATATTTCAGCATGTCAACCCTTTTAACACACCAAAAACATGGAGAAACTGGTCCTAACACACCCCCCCCCCCCCCAGAGAGTGCTGCAACCTATGTCACTCTGAATGAAAACGTAAATGCAGGACATCACAGAAAGCAAACAACAGAGCGGGACACACCCGTAGCCTTCAGGAAAGTCGACCAGCCCAACAAACTTGTGAATAAAAATTGACCTACTATATTTGGGGAGATTAACGTGAACCTAACCGTCTACTTCTCAGCTCAGCAACACTGGATAGACAACGGCAGGGCTGACATCCGTCGAGCCTGGGCTAGTGTCCCCAACTACAACCTGGCCCAGAATGTCATACTAATGGTTGGCGACGGTATGGGCGTGTCCACCGTGACAGCCGCTAGGATCTACAAAGGTCAGAAGCTGGGCAAATATGGCGAGGATTACAAGCTAGCCTTCGAGGACTTCCCACACCTGGCTTTGTCCAAGGTCTGGAGTCAGGCATGATCGTGTTGTGTCTTGTCTTGTCTATTCACTGTCCAAGGTCAGGAGTCAGGCATGATCGTGTTGTGTCTTGTCTTATCAATTCACTGTCTAAGGTCTGGAGTCAGGCATGATCGTGTTGTGTCTTGTCTTATCTATTTACTGTCTAAGGTCTAGAGTCAGGCATGATCGTGTTGTTTCTTGTCTTGTCTCTTCACTGTACAAGGTCTGGAGTCAGGTATGATCGTGTTGTGTCTTGTCTTATCAATTCACTGTCCAAGGCCTGGAGTCAGGCATGATCGTGTTGTGTCTTGTCTTATCTATTCACTGTCTAAGGTCTGGAGTCAGGCATGATCGTGTTGTGTCTTGTCTTATCTATTCACTGTCTAAGGTCTGGAGTCAGGCATGATCGTGTTGTGTCTTGTCTTATCTATTCACTGTCTAAGGTCTGGAGTCAGGCATGATCGTGTTGTGTCTTGTCTTATCTATTCACTGTCTAAGGTCTGGAGTCAGGCATGATCGTGTTGTGTCTTGTCTTATCTATTCACTGTCTAAGGTCTGGAGTCAGGCATGATCGTGTTGTGTCTTGTCTTGTCTATTCATTGTCCAAGGTCTGGAGTCAGGCATGATCGTGTTGTGTCTTGTCTTCTCACTGTGTCCATGTGGGATGTCTGTACACACAGCAGAACTCTGCAAGAGTGTCACTTGTGGAGCACATTGGGACGGGAATATTGGCCCGACTAGTCAACACACACACACACACACACACACACACACACACACACACACACACACACAAACACACAAAGTTGTATGGAACTAAAATGGACAATTTTATCACATGAATCGTCTGTCGGTGTCAAGTAGAGAGCAATCACAGGAAGAAGAAGATGATGATAAAGAAGAAGAAGAAGATGATGATGATAAAGAAGAAGAAGAAGAAGAAGAAGAAGAAGAAGAAGAAGAAGAAGAAGAAGAAGAAGAAGAAGAAGAAGAAGAAGCTGGGTGGGGGGGGGTGGGAGGTGGGAAAGGCTTGATTTAAACCTTTGCCCCAGAGGTCGACTAGCCGGCGATCGATCTAGCCACTACACCACCACTGGCCGCTGTAACTGTTTTGGTTTCTTCAAATGTCTCAGACCTACAACCTTGACCGACAAGTGCCGGACAGTGCTGGGACTGCCGTCGCCATGGTGACTGGGGTCAAGGTTAACATGGGGACCCTGGGTCTAACGGGGGAGGTGCCCTACCAAAAGAATTGCTCTCAAGTCCGCGAGGATCGCAAGCTGAAATCGGTTCTGGATTACGCTTTGGAAGAAGGTAACTATCTGTCCGTGCACCCATCCATCCGTCAACCTCCATCCATTCGTTTTTCCATCTCTCCATCCATTTGTTTGGGTCTAATTTCTTTGTTGCATTTTTAATTCAGACAATAATTAATTATATCCGAGGAACTGTATACACACATTCTATACACTACAGTTCTGCGTCAGTTTGTAGATTAAAAAAGAAGAGGCTAAACTTAAAAAAGAGAAGGCCCACTCATAGCTATAATATTTACAGTACCCACACGAAGGACAGAAAGCAACAGCAGGAACCGTGGAGTATGCCAGTGTGACTATTGGGTTAAGTTTAAGTTAGTCTCCCCGAACAAAGTAGGTCACGTTTTATTCACAAGTTTGTTGGGCGGGTCGACTTTCCTAGTGGTTACGGTTGTGTCCCGATCTATTGTATGCTTTCTTAGTCATCTTGCATTTACGTTTTTATTCCGAGAAAGAGATTGCCTGTGACATAAGTTGCTGCACTCTCTATGGGGGGGGGGGGGGGGTTGTGTTAGGACCAGTTTCTCCATGTTTTTTGTGTTAAAAGCACTGGTGGGCTTAAATACACAATACGCAATATCAACGACATTGCGGAACACCTCCGTACCAATCAGAAGTGAGCTAGCGTGTAAATGGGTGGGATTTGGGGAGCTAAACATTACTTTAACCAACTATTTTATACGGGTGAACAGAGTATCTGTGAGACAGCATAAGTTATTTTGATGTGCACTTGCAGGTAAATCAGTGGGTATTGTGACCACCACTCGTGTCACGCATGCAACACCAGCTGCTGCCTATGCTCACGTCCCCCACAGGTGAGTCGGAGAGTTTTTAACTTGATCATTGCCATCAGTTCTGATGATCATCCTGATAAAGACACCAGTCACCATCACCATCTTCAGCATTCTGACAGGAAGTCCATGGGACAGGGCTGTGGGGTGAAGTCGTGGCTGGGGGTGTGGAGTGGATATGTAGCTGTGGAGTGGGATGTGGCTGTGAAATGGTATGTGTCTATGGAGTTTACAAGGAGCTATAGAGTAAAGGTGTGACTTTGAAGTGCGAGTGTAGCTATTGAGTGGGTATACGGCTGTAGGGGCAGGGGTAGTTGTCGGTTAGGTTCAGGGTGTGACTTTGAAGTGCAAGTGTAGCTATTGAGTGGGTATACGGCTGTAGGAGCAGGGGTAGTTGTCGGTTAGGTTAAGGGTGTGACTTTAAAGTGCGAGTGTAGCTATTGAGTGGGTATACGGCTGTAGGGGCAGGGGTAGTTGTCGGTTAGGTTAAGGGTGTGACTTTAAAGTGCGAGTGTAGCTATTGAGTGGGTATACGGCTGTAGGGGCAGGGGTAGTTGTCGGTTAGGTTAAGGGTGTGACTTTAAAGTGTGAGTGTAGCTATTGAGTGGGTATACGGCTGTAGGGGCAGGGGTAGTTGTCGGTTAGGTTAAGGGTGTGATTTTAAAGTGCGAGTGTAGCTATTGAGTGGGTATATGGCTGTAGGGGCAGGGGTAGTTGTCGGTTAGGTTAAGGGTGTGACTTTAAAGTGCGAGTGTAGCTATTGAGTGGGTATACGGCTGTAGGGGCAGGGGTAGTTGTCGGTTAGGTTAAGGGTGTGACTGTGGATTCAGGGTTATTATGAAATTTAAATGTGGGAGGGGGGTGGGGGAGTGACTAGGGCATAGGAATGGGGCTGTAAGGTGGGGGTGTAACTGTGGAGTGAGGGGTGTGGCTGTGGAGTATGGGGTTTCTATGGAGAAGTGTGGTATGATTGTGGAGTGGGCATGTGATTGTGGAGTAGGCATGTGGTTGGCTCAATCTCATACTTCCTCTGGTCACTAGATAATATAAACTTCTCAGATAATGTGACAAATCAGAAGTTATGATCCTACACCGGTCACAGCATGTATGTCTTAAAAAGTCACACTGGGATCCTCAAATGTGATAGGGATGGCGAGTGTTGGTGTTGATGTTTTTTATGTGTGATTTACGGGAGGAGACTGAAACCTTTATGGAGATATTGCTGTTCAATGACAGTGATTCTGTTCAGTGTGAATGTGTGTGTGTGTGTGTGCATGTATGCATGAATGAGTATGCATATGTACATGTGTGGGTTGTCTTAAGGACCCTTTTTCACGCCTTCGGGCGTATAGGGCATATAGGGCTAGAGCCCTATATTTTTTATAGACCAATCGGCACAAGATGGGTGATGTAGTCAGCATCACACTGGCCACCTTTACTTCCCGGGACTGCACCCGGTACCCACTCCAGGCTGGGTCTATCTGGGAGCCAAGGTCATTTTTGAAAAAAGTCCTGCTCCTCCAGGGAGCGAGCCCACGACCTTCTGATCCGCGGTGAGCGTCTAGCCGCTCCGCCACGTAGACTCCCGCGGGTTGTCTGAATGTATAAACATATATGCATGTATGTGCATGATTCTTTGACGTCTGCAATTTTGGGTCAACCTTCCAGAGACTGGGAGAGTGACGCTGACATGGCTGGTATCCCCGGCTGTGAGCAGGTCAAGGACATTGCCTACCAACTCATTATGGATAACCCGAACATCAACGTGAGTATTTCTGAGTTCTCTCTCATCTACACATTTGATTTCTATTTGTTGGTTAAATACTACATCATCCATTCAGCCCATGCATCCATCTACTCATGCTCAACAGTACAAGGGACTAGGCGTTGTTTGCCCACCTATAAGGTCATAGATGACCTCCCGATACAATTGGAATCTTCAGAAAAGATCAGATATTGTAGGGAACCCCTTGTCCATCAGATTTATTCCACAAATCAACCACTGTATCCCTGTTTAATCAAAAATTGTGCAGACAAAAGGACATAGTCTTCATCTTAGTTTACCCTGGTGAAACAGTTTTTGAATGTAGTTGATTTTGTTTGCGACAAAGGATTTATTTATTTTGTTCATTTAAATTAATTGTTACTGTAGTATGCACCTGAAGAGATTCAGTGAAATATGCCTGGCAATAAATTAGGCAATCTATTCTCTGTGTTATCTTTTTTCAAATTCACAATGGGGAATGCTTTGATTTTCTTACCTGTGAAACTTGTTAAGGAGGGGAAATAACACTGGTAAACTAATTCCCTGATCTATTAAATCTAACGCTTTGCTTATGCTTTGCCGACGATCAATGCATATTTCACAGTGATATTAAACAGCTGCAAGACCACATAAACCTACTACACGACAGTTGCCTCAAGCATCATATGAAGATCAATACTGAAAAGACAGAAGTCATGAGCATAAGTAGAGAGCAACAGACCATCGACATAAAGATTCTAGATCACAGCCTAAAACAAGTGCAAGAATTTAAATACTTATGAAGTATCTTTACATTCAATGGTAAAATAGACAGAGAGATCGAAGCAAGAATCCAACAAGCCAACAATGTCGCATACCAGCTTGCCCCAATTTTAAAACACCCTGCTGTCCCAGCTGAGATAAAAAGACAAATTATAAATACAATCTTTATACCGACATTAAGTTATCAATGTCAGACTTGGACATTAACAAAAGAACAGGATAGAAGACTAACCACCTGTGAAATGAGATGTTTGAGAATGGCTGCGAATAAAACCAGAAGAGATCGAGTGAGAAACGATGTGATTACAAGAACTATTGGAACCATACCGATCGTTAAATTTATTGAGAAGCAAAGAATGAAATGGTTTGGTCACCTAATGAGAATGGAACCAACGATGCCAGCATCAAGAGCATACAACATGAAAATCGAAACACCAAGAGGCAGGGGAAGACCAAGAAGAAGATGGATTGAAGGAGTCACGGACAACTTGAGACTTCATAACATTACGGCATATGAAGCAGCTGAGCGCACCCTGGCTCGGTTGCCAATCATCTGATAGACTGCGACGCCTAGCGGCGCAAGCAGATTTTGACAAAAGAAGATTAAATCTAAGTTACTTCCCATTGAATTATTAGATCATGTTGTAACAACCTTAAGGATTTAAATAATAATGTTTATTTCTGCCTTGCCGTGTATTCCATATCAACATGCAGGTGATTCTTGGAGGTGGCAGACAGGCTTTTATAAACAATTCCTCTTCTGGGGGTAAACGACAGGATGGTCGAGATCTTCGTGAGGTAGGTCATAACTATTAAGGTCATGTAAACATTCAGACAACAAGTGGAAGACACCTGTCCACAAACTACAGTATAACAGGCACATGGTATCAGCCTTATGTTATTATAGACCAGCGGCAGGTGATGTCAGTATCACAGGGCTGCCTTTACTTCCCATAACTTTCCTGGTGCTTCCTGTGGTATAGGCGGACCTGGGAGCCTAGATTATGTGTTTCTAAAATCACCTGAAGTTTCAAACCCATGGTTACCATGCTGCCATGTATATGTGCTTAGCACTGAGCTGTCATTCATTACGCTTATTAATATCTGTTTAATTATAAGAAAATACTCCCAAACATTGTAAGCATGAAAGTAAAGGTTAAATTAAAGAGAATCGACTTCAGTGCACCAGAGTTTTATCCCAGGCGGCTTTCTCTCTCCACAGAACAACTGATTGCCTGAGCATTGCACAAAGCATGAACACCATAGCTATAGCAACGATCCCCAAGTGTCTCTGCAGTCATGAACTTAACAATGGACTTGTGATATGAACCACCAGCTCAGAAGCACTTTATTATAGAGACCCCAGCATCCTGTGTATAAGAAATTTCAATAGTATATACATAATTTTCCTTGCATATACGTGAATCTGCTATTGGAAGGGGCAGGAGAAAAAAAAAGGAAAGCATGTGTGATGTTTGTTCAAAATTACGGCACCCGTGGCTGGGAAGAACCAATTAGCTAAAGGCCTGAAATCCCAGTAATAATTAACTCTTTCATTCCCAAGAAATGCCTGATGTCTAAATGTGTTCCTTGATTTCCCTCCAAAGCATAATGTTCTTCTTATTCTTTGTTCACCTGTTGTAAGCTATGGTGGAAGTTCCTGGTTCATCTATTTGCCCTCTGGCTTTGTGCCAGGGCCTGAATTTTGTGTGTACATCTGTTTTACTGGCTTATTTATGTGCAATTGGTTGTTCCTTGCTGCTAGGGCAGATGCACTCCGACATGCATAATTGTATGTTTTATCTTGAAAATTAAGTAAGAACATACTAAAGAAATCTGACTTCCTCAGTGGTTATATTCACCTGTATGTTGCCACTTTGGAGGTATTGAATTCATGCTAATCATTCATGGTTATTTCTTCCCTTTGTATCGTCTGTGAAACTTTTAGTGTTGATGGAGTTAAAGCGGTCACTTAGGACGTGCAGAAAGGTGCCCTGAAAGCAGTACCATTGAACTTTAGTTCTCAGGATCACCAAAGTGTCCACGACATGGATGTGACCACTATTTAATCTAGCCACATCAGCAACAGAGTTCGCAAGTCTCTTGAGAACTGCTTTAGGGGACTGAACTGTCAACACAGTTTTGTCTAAAATTCTTGAGTTACAACCCTTGTCATTCTCTGACTATTTTTTCGTGGGCCATACGTGTTTCTTCATTCCAATATCAAGGCTACCTCAGTTAAGTGATTTTGTGTAATTGTATGGTTTTGTTTATTTATGTATGCTCTGATGAAGGCTGTATAGCTGCAACATTCATTTTTCGTTTGTGTTTGCTGTGGGCTGAAGCTCGCTGATCTACTTTTCACTCAGTTTTAAATCTTTCCTTAGTATTGAACAGACTTCTCTCCTCCACTCTTAGCTGCATTTAAGGAAGACCTTTTGAGAATGAAGCACAACTGGTCTGTCAGATTCCACACCATGTTTTCTCCTTCTTTTAAACTAAGTACGCAGTCTGATGAACCGGCAAAGTATTTTGTGACAGCTAAGCTCAACTTCTACAGGCCAGGTGTTCAATACCTACTTTAGACTTGACTTTTCAAAATTGATATGGGTTTTCAGCTCACATATCATATGCCCAAATATAAGTATTGATTATTATCCATATCATATTATAGATACTAAATATTAAATATGAGTTTGCATCCCACAGAACTGGAAGCGGCACAGAGCATCCAGCGGTCTCAGATATGCTTATGTGGAAACTAAAGCAGACTTTGATCAAATCAATCCAGACACAGCTGACTACCTGCTAGGTTAGAAATTAGAATAACATTATCTTTGAATGTTAATCTGGTTGCTATGGAGCATTGACCCTTCACCCCAAATAGTGTAGTGTTTCCTAGCGTCATTTAGCAGCAACTGGCAGCCTGATACAAAATATATGCTAATTAATCTGTTTTATTTATCTGCTATAAACCGTTTTTATTTGTGAAGTCTTTCGCTTTATTTTAAAAGTATCTGTTTTGTGATGTTTATGATTTACTAACGTTTCCTTCCTGTGCATATATTTGATATTCTTGCCCTGAGTATTTAGCTGTCATTTTACCAGCTCTATAGCTATAGTCTCCTATATTTGGCCTCTTGAATAAGTAACAATTCAATCAATCCACAAGCCTCTTGTGTCCTGTGCAGTTTTTAAAAACTGTTGCCTAATCACAGGACTGGGTGTAAACTTGATGAGGCCCCAAGTTGTATAAAGTACTGAGGCCTCTACCGTTTAACATTGTCAATGACACCAGCCAATCTCAACAAAGTAGAGTAAATAAAAGCATGAGATAATGTACACACAAAACAATATTCACAAAATCATATCCCAAAAAAATTTAGGGAGGGGGGCAAAGGGGGGGGGGGGGGGTGTTTAAATACATTACAAAAAAATTTTAACTTAAAAAAAATTTATTTATATAATTTTGGGAAACTCCTTCAGACTGTGAAGTGCTAAACTATAGCTTATTTAGCTTTGAGCTAAATTGGGCACTGGCTGATCACTGATAAAGAGTTGGTTATATGCTTTATCTTTCTGACAGTCTGGCTGCTTTGATTTTTGTTTGGTTCTATAATTATCTCTTGTCAGCATCAGAGCCTCATTATGGCTTACGTCTGCATCAGGCTGGGGTTGTCATGACTACCCAGCATCGGAGCCTCATCATGGCTTATGTCTGCATCAGGCTGGGTTTGTCATGACTACCCAGAACATGTTCTGTAATCCATGTTAGTGGAAGTCGACCTTGGAGTCTTGTGTCAATTGAAAAAAAAACACCCTACCTGAATAGGCATTTGAGCACCTGATCACTGGTCCAGATAGCAAACCTGCTCACCACTGTGCCACCACAATTATCTTTTCATGCATGGGAGGTTTTAAGAAATTTCTTACTGATTTTTGGATATATTTTCAGTTATATCATTACTCATTGTATTCGTGCTGAAAATGTCTACCTCTGCTCTTCAAAATATGCTTTAAATGTTAGTTTTTCAAATACAGGTCTGTTTGAACTGAGTCACATGACTTATGAGCTAGAGAGGAATGCTTCCAAGGAACCATCACTCACAGAAATGGTGGACAAAGCTATACGTATTCTCAAGAAGAATCCTAAAGGCTTCTTTCTTCTAATTGAAGGTTGGTTTATGTTGTTTCTTACTGCTTTTTACCACATTCTGTTATATGTGGGAAAGGTTTAATGCAATGGAAAACAAACGCCTGAGAAAAGTTTTAAACTAGGATAAATTTGTCTTCATTATCTTCTACTTCTTAATGTTTACCAGCTATAAACTCTGTCAGAAAGCTCTTATTATTTGTCCACTTATCGACTTTAATCATTTTCCATAACTTGTTTTTTTTGGGGCATGCACATGCGTTTTACAGATCTAGCTTATTGTATGCAGACTGTTGGTTCCTCACCTCTCAAGCAGATGTACTCCGACCTTGAAGATAACACCCCTCATTAGTTGACTTTTATGACATGCTACTTAGGAAGACAGTGGGTCTATTCTCCTTCCCCCCTTACATACCTCACAATGAAATGCTGGAACGCACAAAGGGAGGAGGAATTCTAGAGAAAGGACAAATATCCTGATAGTCGCTAGTGTCCGGAGTTATCAGACTAAGATGATGGCCATTTTTGGGGGGGCACAGGCTGAGAAAGTGGACAGAGAATCCCAAACAGACATTGAAGTGGGAAATAAATGGATTGAGAAAACCAGAAACCTCAAGATGAATGTTGATGACAGAGGCTTCAGCTGCTGGACTTGATTCCACACATGTCAAAATGATTGCACAACTCTCCGCGTGGGAGCTGGTAGGGTGTGTTCTGTCTCTCTTCGTGGGAGCTGGTAGGGTGGGTTCTGCTCGTGGGATCTGGCAACGCATTAACTACCACTCTTGCCCACAAGCCCTGTGGTCACAGGATTGAATCCCCATGGTTGCAGATTTGGAAGATTGAACTGGGCTCACTGGTCCTTCATTTTGCTTTCCTTCATAGTTCTTCAATTTATTAGTCCTGTTTGGGAATGCCTACATGTGTGATCTATCACCATAATAACAAGCAGAGGTATATCATTTTTTGTTTTGTTTATTTTATTTAACAAAAAAAACCTTAAAAAAAGTCCAGCCCATGACATAAAATTAATCAAGTCTGAAGGAGACAGAACATGTCATCTCAATGCTACCTTGACCCAGCTTGTTCTAATGTGGGAAACCCTAATTGACTTACAGCTGTGGACTTGATTTTATTTTCAGGTGGTAGAATCGACCACGCCCACCATGACAATCTCGGAAAGAAAGCCCTTGAAGAAACCGTTGAATTTGATAACGCAGGTATCACTATAATCCTGTGATAAGTAATAATGATGAATGTGATGTATGAGGTTGAGTGCCATTGGTTGCTCATTTCCAGCTCCACTCCTTCAAACTGGGTCACAAGGAGGGATTTGGGGGGGGGGGGGGGGGGGATTGATCAATGTATTGTTATTTTTCAATTTCCTACTTCTATATTTCATTTTCATAGAAGCTGATAGGAATGTAATGGGATTATAAACAATGTTAGTAGTAGTGGTGGTGGTTATGGTGGCGGTGGTTGTGGTGGGCTATTGTGGTGGTGGTGATGGCGGTGGTGGTGGTGGTAGTGGTTGTGGTGGGCTATTGTGGTGGTGGTTATGGTGGCGGTGGTTGTGGTGGGCTATTGTGGTGGTGGTGATGGCGGTGGTGGTGGTGGTAGTGGTTGTGGTGGGCTATTGTGGTGGTGGTTATGGTGGCGGTGGTAGTGGTTGTGGTGTACTATTGTGGTTATGGTGGCGGTGGTAGTGGTTGTGGTGGGCTATTGTGGTGGTGGTGGCGGTGGTGGTGGCGGTGGTAGTGGTTTTGGTGGGCTATTGTGGTGGTGGTGGCAGTGGTAGTTGTAGTTTAAATAACAATATCCTGTTCAACCTCTCTGGGTTATAATTGGGATACACAGATTTTGTATTTTATTTATGCCTATCAATTATCTTCCATTATTTAGTATTGCATTTCCTTCAAAGTCAGAGTGCATCTGCCTGAGAGGCAATAGACCAACAGTCTACAAATAAGCCAGATCTGTAAAACAGATGTGCGCACAACACTCAGGTTCTGGAACAAAACTAATGTCCAGAGGTGGATAACAATCAGAACTTTTTGCCAGTTTACAGCCGGTGAATGCAAAGAAGAAGATGAATGTTGCATAGCTGAAGTATTGTAAAATATTTCAGAAGTACATATATATACATATATATATATATATATTGTCAGGTTAAATATTTTTTAAGTGTACTTTCAATCAGTCATAGCAATTATATTGTATAGTCTGTCTTTAAGAATAAACAATGTTCATATTGTTTTCCTTTCTGAAATTCTCAAACTAAATAATTAACAGAATGTGCAGAAATATTATGTGAATAATGTATGGGATTAAATTAAGATGTACACACACTGGCATTTGGGCCTGTTTGAAAGGTTGGTACTTCATATGTAAATATGCAAATGAAATGAATTCAGTGAATCTATGGACACATGTGCCTAACTGACATATAAGTGTGGTAGTTTTTTTTTCTGCTATGCTTGTCTGCTAGTAAAGGTTTATTTACCTTATGAAAATATTGCCACACATTTCACTATTCAAATACATACTATGTGAGTGCATGGTTATTAAATGGTAATCAGATTTAGGTGAACATTACGCATAACTCCCCAAATAGAGTTAGCCCAGCACCTTTATGCACTAGGTCACTGTTCATTCACAGTTTGTTAGGCTGGTTGACTTTTCTAAAGATTACAGGTGTTACCCGCTCTATTGTTTTTATTCCGAGAATTGGCGGGGGGGGGGGGGGGGGGGGGGTGTGAGGACCAGTGCTCTATGTTTTTAGAGCTTTAAAAGCACCGGAATGCTGAAATATACAGAACGTGATATCAACGGTATCACGGAACACCCCTGTTACCTTGTGCTGAGGTGACGAGGCTCAGGAACTACTATTTGCGGAGATTTGCATTACATTTACCTCAAAATGATCTTAATTATTTCTAAAGAATACATAATTGTAATGTTGTGAATTCCCGGGGAAACCCCAGAGAGTTTCCGATGGGGAGAAAAAGGTCGGAGGACCCGTGAGAGAAGAGAAAAATGGGAGAAGTGAGTCTCGTGTGTCTCATGGTAAACGAAGTGAGAGACACAAGAAAACACTTGTAATGTGCTCATCTAGGGGCATGTATTGTTTACATTGCTTTCAGACGAACAGTGAGTTGAAACGACACAGCATGAACGAATATTGAGTTCTTTGCTTTTATTCGTTGAATCGCCAGTTATCGCAAACATACATTCATGCTTCCTCGTGCTCGACTTGCTTGGCTGAATCTAGCGACCTGGACGGGCTTCCCACACACTACAGGAATTTATCAGCGTCTCTCGAACCATCCATCTATACTTCATGGACTCTGATATCTGACATTACGACGTATGGAAAAACATTCAGTCCTCCTATTGAAATATAACGTTCACTTCACAAATCATTTATTCTTCTCAGGCGTTCATTCACGCGTCCTCTCTAAGTCAGGGCAGAACTTCAACTGTCTTACTTCAGTCTCTCGGTTCACGTCTTCCGTTCACGTCTCATGCTTTTCTTGTGTCTCTCACTTCGTTTACCATGAGACACACGAGACTCACTTCTCCCGTTTTTCTCTTCTCTCACGGGTCCTCCGACCTTTTTCTCCCCATCGGGAACTCTCTGGGGTTTCCCCGGGAATTCACAACATTACAATAATCCCTTATCATCATCATCATCCTCATTTAGCAGATCCTTTGTCATGGTCATCGCAAACTGTGATCAAGTCTACCAATCTTTTTGCCAGCTTCTCATTCTCATTCAGGTCCACGTCCAAATTATCTTTAATGTTCTGGTCCACTAAACAGAAACAAAACAAAAACTCTACATTCAAATCTGTTCTTTTTAATGTCCATGCAATGGAGCATTGGTCCCATTGATTGTTCACGTATGTTGTCATGTGTATTACCAATGATTTTTTATACAGATATTCCTCCATGTCGAGGTGGTATACATCTGACCTCCTCTCTCTTGATTTCCCTCCAACTTTCTTGTTGTCACACCATACTCCAGTTACTCTCTATCCATTAATGCCAGTAACTATTGATGCACCTTATGAACTTGTGTCTTTCAACAGTACGAAAAGTCACGGAACTGACTTCAGCTGATGACACGCTGACTGTCGTAACGGCCGACCATTCACATGTGTTCACAATAGCTGGATATCCTCGTCGAGGACACAATATACTTGGTGAGTTTTAACTGTTAGCGTCCATGTTTGTTATCGTAAAGTTTGAGTGTGGGTGTCTGTCTGTGTGTGTGAAAGCCTGTGTCTGTCTGTGTACTACAGGTGTGTGTTTGCCTGTCTGCATGTGCACTGGGCTGAGTGTGTATGTGTGTGTGTGTTTATGTGTGAATGTGTTGAAATCCTCAAATAAATCATAAAACTCTGAGGTACTCCTTCCCTGAGTGATTGAATGTTTAATAGCTCCTAGTCAAATATTTTTCATTATCATCCTTCTTTCTTTCCTAGAACATTGTGACAAGTGTCTTCTACCACTTTTGTGAGGTTTAGTTGACCCAAGAACATTCTGACAGGTGTCTGCTACCACTTTTGTGAGGTTTAGTTGACCCTAGAACATTCTGACACTGCCGGGGCAAAAATTTGGAGCTAATAACCTACCCAAAGTATTTCAGGATCCTCGCTGGTGCTATGGAGTTCATGCATTGAGCTGAGATTCTTCGGACTCAGGCTTGAGTCAGAAGTAGAACGGAGCACTTATTGAAAATGAAGCCATGCGCATTATTTTGGGATGTACAAGAGACACATCCTGTGGAGCAATGAGGTATTTACTTGACTTTCCAACAATGAACCAAAGGATCAGGATGTGGAGGGCTCGGGCATACCTCAAAATATGTGCTGATAAGAAACACCCACTGCATCAAGCGCTTTTTAGTGAAAAGGGCGACAGACTGAAGAGGGGAAAATCGTGGCTAGGTCAGGCAGAAGATGTTATTAGGCAAATATGCAGCCTAATTGACATCATACCTGGTGCAGAATGGATACCTGTGCCTCAGGAGTTTATTTGTACATTTTCCTGTATTATCACACTCAACAGGCGATGTAGAGAAGAGAATCCTGTTGCTGTTAATGCAGAGGCCAACGCTCTCATCGGTGAAAATTCAGACGAAGCAGATGCACTAATCTACACAGACGGATCCGTTATACGCCAAAGAAGAAGCGCAAGGGCATTTACAGCACGCTCAGCGGGCAGAACAGTCAAAGAAGCCAACGGTGCCTTCTCAATGACAACCAGCAGCATGACGATGGAGGTGATGGCAGTGACACAAGCGCTTGCCTGGCTTGAAACACAAAACTACACCCGCGTGTGTATACTCAGTGATTCAATGAGCATGATCCGGAGGGTTCAGGCAGGATCAGTGCGAAGACAATGGCTTGAATCAATTCAGAAGTCCACTGTGCGTAGAGTCACCTTTATTTTTGTTCCGGGATACGCAGGCGTCGATGGAAATGAAAGAGCTGACAGGTTGGCTGGATCCGCTATCACTACCGACGGTCAGCCTATGGATCATGCTGATATTATCAATGCCCTCAGAGAAATGGGAAGGATAGAGGACTTTGGTGGCAGTGAATCCACATCCCTCGCCAGAATAGCAGACTTGGGAATTAAGATCGGCACAGCAAAAAACGAGACGCACACCGGACACGTCAGAAGATTTGTTAATCAACATAGAACTGGTACTATTAGCCATCGGACGTTGGGATTCATACTGAGGGGAGGATCTGAGCACCTATGGACATGTCCGGAGTGCAATGATGATAACCCAACTAACTAACTAACTTATTGGTTACTACCCTTGTGCCATGATGTTGATCCGCCATATAAACCTAAACATTCTGACCGGCGTCTGCTACCTACTTTTGAGAGGCTAAGCTGACCCTAGAACCATTTTTGTTGGGGGACACATAATGTTGGCTCTCTTGTGGGTTAAACCTGGGCAAGTTTTGGCAGGTCAGCTCTTTAACTACTATGCTACGGTGGCTTGAAAACATGTCAGAGCCTGACCCCACGTCACATACTTGACCCACAGTATCAACTGTAGGATGACCTTCACCTTTATTGGGGTTTAAACATTCTGTTTTATAAAATCCAGCTTTTGTCCTACAGTAAAGCCTCGTTAACACAGATTCACTTAAGAAAAACCAGTTCTTAAATTGTCCCAGCAGGCATGTGTCTATGAATTATTAGTTCCTGGCTAAATTTTTAAATTTTTAAAAAATACTCTTTACTTTTCATTCCCAGGAAATTCGTGTTAATGAAGTTTCATTGTCTTTGTTTAAAAAAAAAAAACAATTTTTGTAAACCAAAAGAACAGATTTGTAGAGTTTATTGCCTGGCATATTTTGATGCATCTTACCAGGTGCATTCAACAGTAACAATTAAATCAGACAAAGCAAACAAATAAATAACTTCAACTGGACTAAAAAAATTTCTCTATAATTAAATGTAGTGGCAAAATCTGGCCTGCTGTTTGGTGAGGTCGGGTCCTGCCAGAGCAATACTTTTTAAAAAAATGACCTTGCTCCCAGGTTAACCCAGCCTTGATGGGTACCAGGTCAAGTCCTGGGAAGTAAAGGTTGCTGGCCTGTTTTAACAGGGTGAATGCAAGTTCACAAACATTATACAGTTTGTTGTTTGTATCTTCTTTGTTCAAGTGTACAACTGGGAAAAATTGCTTTCATATAGTGTATCTGTGTCCATTTTTTGTGCAGGCATTGTTGATGATATGCCTGAAAATGAAATGCCCGTTGACAAGATGCCTCTTCTAACACTGGGATATACAAATGGTCCTGCAAGTAAGAGAGTCAACTACACGGAAGTGGACACCACAGGTAAGTGACACCTGCACTGAGGGTTGTTGTTAGACTTGTGCAACATGTGCAGCAGTACAGGGCAGAAAAACTTTTGGAGCAGCTCAATATAACTAGTAGTAATAGAATGTTTCTATTTTATGTTATTGCTTTTATCATTATGAAGCCTGCATGAGACAGTGTTCTGAAATTAAAATAGTACAGCAATAGTAACACTGAAGTTTAGCTGAGGGAAGAAGAGGCATAAAATAAATCACTGGGTACGGGCATCACATAAATGACTGGGTACGGGCATCACATAAATGACTGGGTACGGGCATCACATAAATGACTGGGTACGGGCATCACATAAATGACTGGGTACGGGCATCACATAAATGACTGGGTACGGGCATCACATAAATGACTGGGTACGGGCATCACATAAATGACTGGGTACGGGCATCACATAAATGACTGGGTACGGGCATCACATAAATGACTGGGTACGGGCATCACATAAATGACTGGGTACGGGCATCACATAAATGACTGGGTACGGGCATCACATAAATGACTGGGTACGGGCATCACATAAATGACTGGGTACGGGCATCACATAAATGACTGGGTACGGGCATCACATAAATGACTGGCTACGGGCATCACATAAATGACTGAGTACGGGCATCACATAAATGACTGGGTACGGGCATCACATAAATGACTGGGTACGGGCATCACATAAATGACTGGGTACGGGCATCACATAAATGACTGGGTACGGGCATCACATAAATGACTGGGTACGGGCATCACATAAATGACTCCACAGGGATATGAACATGTATGACCGTGGCAAAACACACGAGATAATGATGGTGATAACAAAGTTTTCATCAAAGCTATAACAATATACCTACCTACATTTAGGTCTATTGTCTTTTTCTTTTGTGTCTTTTTCTTTTTTGAGTTAACCGTTAGGTAATTGATGTGTATTGTGAATCCTACAGACAATAATTTCAAGCAGCCGGGCTGTGTACAGATGCCATGGGAGACCCACGGAGGAGAAGATGTGGCCATATACGCACAAGGTAAGTGAACCTTCACTAGCAGACAAGCATAGCAGAAACAAAATTACAAATACTTTTATGCCAATTAGACACATGTGTCCACCGATTCCCTGGTAAATGTACATATGAATTGGGTTATTTTCACAGCAGGCTGGACACATACAATTCTTGTATTCTTAGCAGTTATGTGAACATTTGCTCCCAATATCCTTGGATTGTCCTATCTGTCTAAAGACAATAACAACATTAGTGCAACCCATAGGCTGGTCATCAGAAACAAGGCAGAACCAGCCAGTGTGTTAGCTGTTTCCTTGCCAACAACACCTGCATTGCCTGGGACAAAGATGAAGGCAGCTGCATACAGAGGAGAGTTTTGCAATGACTTGATCCACTGCATACTGAGCCGACTTTGACCCACTAAATCAGGCTGTAGAATGTAGTATTGTCAAAGTCATGCTGGCAACATTGACCTTCTTAAAGTCATTTCTGGCGTGACCTTTTATTGAGGCTAGTTTAACTTCAGAAAACATAAGTAGGTGCAGCATGACTAATTCAAAGTTGTCATGGAAAACAGGCGTGCAGTGGAGTGTGAAATAGGTGTGTAGAGGGGTGTAAAAGGTGTGTAGAGGGGTGTGTAAAAGGTGTGTAGTGGGGTGTAAAAGGTGTGTAGAGGGTGTGTAAAAAGTGCGTAGAGGGTGTGTAAAAGGTGTGTAGAGGGTGTGTAAAAGGTGTGTAGAGGGTGTGTAAAAGGTGTGTAAAAGGTGTGTAGAGGGTGTGTAAAAGGTGTGTAAAAGGTGTGTAGAGGGTGTGTAAAAGGTGTGTAGAGGGTGTGTAAAAGGTGAGTAGAGGGTGTGTAAAAGGTGTGTAGAGGGTGTATAAAAGGTGTGTAGAGGGTGTGTAAAAGGTGTGTAGAGGGTGTGTAAAAGGTGTGTAAAAGGTGTGTAAAAGGTGCATAGAGGGTGTGTAAAAGGTGTGTAAAGGGGTGTAAAAGGTGTGTAGAGGGTGTGTAAAAGGTGTGTAGAGGGTGTGTAAAAGGTGTGTAGAGGGGTGTGTAAAAGGTGTGTAGAGGGGTGTGTAAAAGGTATGTAGAGGGTGTGTAAAAGGTGCATAGATGGTGTGTAAAAGGTGTGTAGAGGGGTGTAAAAGGTGTGTAGAGGGTGTGTAAAAGATGCATAGAGGGTGTGTAAAAGGTGTGTAGAGGGTGTGTAAAAGATGCAAAGAGGGTGTGTAAAAGGTGCATAGAGGGTGTGTAGAGGGTGTGTAAAAGGTGTGTAGAGGGTGTGTAAAAGGTGCATAGAGGGTGTGTAAAAGGTGTGTAGAGGGTGTGTAAAAGGTGTGTAGAGGGTGTGTAAAAGGTGCATAGAGGGTGTGTAAAAGGTGTGTAGAGGGTGTGTAAAAGGTGTGTAGAGGGTGTGTAAAAGGTGCATAGAGGGTGTGTAAAAGGTGCGTAGAGGGTGTGTAAAAGGTGTATAGAGGGTGTGTAAAAGGTGCATAGAGGGTGTGTAAAAGGTGTGTAGAGGGTGTGTAAAAGATGCATAGAGGGTGTGTAAAAGGTGTGTAGAGGGTGTGTAAAAGATGCAAAGAGGGTGTGTAAAAGGTGCATAGAGGGTGTTTAGAGGGTGTGTAAAAGGTGTGTAGAGAGTGTGTAAAAGGTGTGTAGAGGGTGTGTTAAAGGTGTGTAGAGGGTGTGTAAAAGGTGTGTAGAGAGTGTGTAAAAGGTGTGTAGAGGGTGTGTAGAGGGTGTGTAAAAGGTGTGTAGACATCTGGAATATAGTCAACATTGAAGGGGAAACAAAGGCGGACTTATAATCATGTTGCAACTGGTACTATTAACATTTAAACTCTTTTTTGGTTACTGATGAAGGAGATTGAGCACCTGTGGGAATGTCCCGAGTGCAGTGATGTCAGTTCTTGATTAATTAATTAATTCATGAATTGAAACATATGGATGTTGCAGATGATAATTCTAGGGAATGAATAAGTTGACAAATTTGAAACAAAGATATTATTAGTTAGTTTGTGAGCACTATTCTGGCAAATGAATGAAAAAAGGTAGGGGGATTTAGACAGATAGTTTCATGACCTTTGTATAAAAGGCAAGATTTGTTGAGTAAAAAAAAAAAACCTTTACGTTACTTGGTACCCATTTTAGGCCGGCAGCAAAAGTCAATTTCTTCGTAAAATCTGACTCAGTGGAGACTGAAACCCAAGACCTTTGGGCTGGCAGGCAAGTATCTAGATACTACACCACCATGGCTTCCTCTATGGCTGACTGCAAGAAAATGTGAATCTACTATTGTCTTTGGGATGGAAACTGTCCTATCTCTTCCATAGTGTGATTCTCGTTCCACTGCCGGAGAGCCACAAGAAAAGGTCTTTTACTAAACCACTTGCCAGGTACATGGAATTCTGGTACAGGAAGGATTGTGAAACATGTTCACTAAATTCTAAGGCACATAGCCGGACTCTATGCCTGACCTGATATTTATCATAGATAGAGCTCTTTTGTGCATGTTGCTTTTATCTATAATCACTTTCATCTGTTGTAATCCATCATCATTTTCTTCTGTTTGTATCCATTATCAGTTTCTTGTTTTATCTATCATTTTGTTCTGTTTTTAAAAAAGCTGCTCCAGATTACCATCAAATTAAAGTGATTTATGTTTATTTTCTACAGGACCAATGGCTCATCTGTTGCATGGCGTCCATGAACAGTCGTACATTGGACACGTACTCATGCACTCCGCCTGTCTGGGAGAATATAAAAATGACTGTGACCTCGACAAAAGAGAGAAAATGAAGAGTGGCTTCTGTGGAACATCTAGGCCGGTGTCCTCTATAATTGTGATTTTGGGTGTCCTGTTTAAAGTAGTGCTAGATATGGAATTATTATGAAACAGGTCAATAATCTTAAAAAAGAATTGTAGGCAAATGCAGCTGACTTCTCTGAAGTGTATAACGAATCAAGTATATCAACATCCTTGTTATCATTAGAAAAAACATCAGTCATGCTAGTCATCATCATTGTTAGAAAACATCAGGCATGTTAATCATCATCATCATCATCATTAGAAAACATCAGTCATCCTAATCATTATCATCCTCATCATTGTTAGAAAACATCATTCATGCTAATCATCACCATCCTCATCATCATTAAAAAACCTCATTCAACCTAATCATTATCATCCTCATCATCATTAGAAAACATCAGTCATCCTAATCATCATCATCATTAGAAAACATCAGTCATCCTAATTATCATCATCTTTATATGGTTATGCAGTATACTTTCTGCATCAAAAGCTGGCAGCCACAAATCTTCAGAAGCTTCAGTCCTGAGTCCAAGTGGTCAGTCTTGTCTGGCTGCGTTATTGTTAGTACTGAACAATCTGCTGATGTGAAGGCAGAAGGTCGGAGAGCTCTGGTCACTGACACCACACAGTTTGAGCTGTGAGAGGAGCATTTGTCCACAAGGCAAGAAACCGACTGTTCGTTAGCAATCACAATCATTGGAGATCACTAACTGGGCTTCCACATCCTTGACTGACTGGAGGATATTTGCGAGGGAATGGTTGCAGTGTTCACATCAACATGGCATTCTGGGAGGCAGAAGCTCACTCATACATGTCCAAACACATTACACTTACATCATACACAAAAATACACTTATATCTAAACAAATATGCACTTAAACACACACATTTATATCCACACTTTTCATATTTGTTTGTCTTCCCCTCTGGGATTGCAGCCCAAAGATTTGATACCCTGTTGACTCAGAGAGTCACTTTTGAAGATGCCAGTCCAACATGGATAAATCATAGATACCTCATTGAAACATGTCTTCTTCTTCACTGGCTGTACACTCTGTCAGAAAGCTCTGGTTGTTCGTCCACTTTTGGACTATTGTCTTGTTCCAGAACTTAGGTTTTGCAAGCACATTTATTTTACAGATCTGGCTTAAACAGACTGTTGGTTCCTTGCCTCTCAGGCAGATGCATTCAGTGTTTGAAGGAAAACATCCCTACAAATTAGTTGACTTTTACAGCAGGTTTGTTAGTTTGTTTCACAATGGGGCCCCGGAACCCACAAGGGAATGTTGAAACACAGAACAGTTAAAATAGGCTACTCTCCAGCTATACAAAGTACCCCGCTCTCTCTCTCTCTCTCTCTCACACACACATACATACATACACACACACACACATACATACACACACATATGTCTGGAAACACGCCCACACACGTAGAAAACATGTGTAAATGACTGCTTGTTTTTCTGTGTAAAGTTGCAGTATTTAATAAACATATCTGCCCAAAGAAATTGTTGTTGCTGATAATGATGGTGAAAGGAAGGAATAACGTGAAAGATCATGGCAGAACAATTTCGTGATTTAATTTTTTGTTTGTTTGTGCGACTACAATCAAGAGGTGGAGGCAGTCACTGCAGTTCTGAAGTTGTTAGCTGAAAGTAAAGTGACCACAAGAATGATAGTGACTGTTTCTCTGTCCGTACTGCGGAAGATTCAGAGTAGACAGATTGACTCACTGATGTTCAACCACACCTGGACCACATGCCAAGCGATGAACACCACTGACACAAAGTGCCACTAATCGGATGAGAATCACCGGGCACAAATCCTAGAAACCGTAGGTTATGTTTAGAGCTCCCAGCCAAGCTGTTGCAGGTGCTTTAAAAAATATCCCCAAAATTGCCCCCCTTCCCCCACACACTTTGAGCGGGATTAAAAAAGTGGACAACTGTGAAGTTAGTAGATACCAAGTATCAGTATGTCAGCATTACTAGTTTCAATGTTACTATACAAAAAATTGCAAAATATTTTGATGAAGTGAAGATACCCACTTCTAGATAGGAGTTACTAAATTACGAGCCACTGAGATGTGAATGTTTGAAGGTAGAGATGGAGTTCTGTGCAAATTTTTACTGGTTATAAATAATGTTACTGACACATTAAAAAGAAGGGGCTATCCTCCGAATAACGGTCCCAAATTATGGACACCGAAAATATACCCTAACAGGGCCTCAGTCACGTGTAGATTGCGGACCTCCTCCGGCGACTTCACAGCACACCGCGAAAAAGCTTCCGCCAAGTTTAAGTCACTGCCGAGAATTTCCCCCCGCGCGGTGGTAAACTAGATGGCCAGGACTCAAGAGCAGCAGCTACCGCATCTCACGCAGCTTCCTCTATTTTATTTGCTCGTGAGTCCCAGCCAGCTAGTTTAGCCGCGCGTAGCGGCGTGGTAGATACTCTCGGTTGTGTGCTGTGTAGTCACCGGAAAGGGTCCGCAAGTTACATGTGACTGAGGCCCTGTTAGGGTACATTTTCGACCTCGATAATTTAGGACCGTTTATCAGAGGACAGCCGAAAGAAAGTTTTCAACTGTTGCTAGATCTCAGAATTCAATCACGGCAGATCATAGCCTCACATGAAACCCGCCGGCAATATGCTCTAAATCAGAATAGTCGTCTAAATAACACGAATAAATACACATGTGTAGCACACACACACACGCGCGCAAAACATTATTGTTTAAGTGCAAGTAAAAAAACTCTTCAGCGTATCTATCCCCCAAAAAATCGCATCACTGTCATCGTGTGCCTCGGTAAATGGCGCAATATTGATAGACCCTGTATAACGATAAATCTCCGTCCCGTGTGATCGTGGTTCTATGTAAAATACAATATTAAATATTCTTCATATTGGTGCCCGACCCTCTGATCCAGAGGTCGGTCTTATTTCAAACGTCCCCTCCCTCTTTAGGTTATTGAGAAGCACAGCCTGTCCCCGAGCTACGAGGAGGAGGAGAAGCAGAAGACTTTATTAACAGTAATTAATCCGGGTGATCTTAGTCACCTGCAATGTGGCCACATAAATGGTTATTTTGTAGGTCTCTGGGTTATGTTCGAGCAGGTCCACGAGGTCATGACAAACTGCAATGTTTCACGTATCATATGTTGAGCGAATCCATCCCTCCCTCTCTCTCTCTCTCTCTCTCTCTCTCTCTCTCTCTCTCTCTCCCTCTCTGTGTGTGTTACGTGTGCGTGCGCATGTATCCCACGACATCTAAGCACCTCCTGTAGTTCTGCCAACTTAAAAAAACAGTATAAGGAAATTCTTCCTAGTAAAAACCACACAGGAATGTTGCAAAGGGGAATTAAGTATTTTATTGTTACACTGAATGCGAACAAGAAGATATTGCATTTTTCTTCAATATGGTGTCATTTCCGGTAAACTTTTCTGCAATGATGAAGTGCCTTGATGACTGGCATGGGCGATCATGGTAAACTATATCCTGCTATCTCCAAAATCAAGCCATAAACTGACATTTTCTTTATGGGAGGGGTAGGTAGGGAAAGGGGTTGCCTTCCTATCCACGATGTTAAAAATTGTCACTGTTGTCACAGAGTGTTCCATTTTGTCCTTTCCGTCCTTGCTCCTTTAAAAGCTTTGAAATAATTCATGTTGACTCAGGAAAGCATATTAAGCATTCTTCAGTAGAACTGCATAAAAACATATTTGTGAGAAATAATTTCCCAGTCAGTCAGAACATTGTCATCTTCTACTTCTTCGCATTCACTGGCTGTAAACTCCGGTGGAAAGTTTTAGTTGTTTGTCCACCTATGGACTTCAGCCTCGTTCCAGACCTAAGTGTTGCGTGCACATCCATTTAACAGATCTGGCTTAATTATATGCAGGATTTTATTCCTTTGCCTCTCAACCAGATGCACTTCTACTTCGAAGAAAGCTCCCATTTAGTAGACTCTTACGTCATACTTGTTGGTGAAGCGGTGGGTCTATTCTAGTTTCCCCCCACATTGTGGCCTTGGAACCCACACGGGGAAGAACAATGTACATCCCTAGATATCTAAGGCGTGAACAGAAGAAGAAGAACCTAAACAGTACCGTTTATAATTGGGTTCTATCGTGCTTTTCTTATTTCTAATCTGTACTTCTGATATTTTGCTTTGATATATATAAGTTAGTTAGGTATCCTTGACAGAGTGTTGCAAAACCAATGAAAACATCAATGCTATTACAACCAGCAGCCTTACAAAGGAAACTATGGCTGTAACAAGGGAACCAGCATGGCTTAGTACTTGAGAGTTCACACAAGCGTCCATACAGGGCGACTTGATGAACATGTTTTAAAATCCAGACTGGCTTTATCAGACACGCATGGATTGCAAAAACTCAGCAATTCACGAATGTCTGCGCTTACCTTCATCTTTGTGCTAGGCTATGTCGGTGTTTAAAGACACGAGCGTGCAGATGATTGTGCAAGCACTGAGGTTGTTTATGGCTGGTCTAGTACTAGACAGAGGTGATGTTAAGATGACGACGAGCACGCCAAAGGGCATGACTCCGTATCCCCGTCCAAGGACAAGAGGTTTCATTAACCAGCACAGAACATTTATAATTGTATGTCGAATTTTTTTGAGATAATTGTGAATTACCATCTAATGGCCATGTAGCGACATATTTGATGAAGAAAAAACATTCGACCACCTTAAACCTGCTGCGAGCAGAGGTATTAGATTATCCCCTTTAAAAAATGCAGATAGAAGGAAAAGTGTGGTAAAACAAAGAAAGAAAGAAGGAAGGCATGTACGCAGATGTAGGTAAGCTGAAAGACAGACGGGCCGGGGTGTGTGTCCCTCCAAGGACAATGGGCAACGTGGCAATGTCAGCCAATCAAATGCCTTGTCTTATTGACACTCCCCCGGATGGTGATGAATGAAATGAAGTATGAAGATCAACTTGCGACGCGACGACATATAGTACATGATTATAATAAATATACTAAAGCAACAAATACTATCCTTTTTCTAAACCGGCAAAATGTTGACGCAGTTTAGGTAATAATAGTACAAACATAAGATTGTTTCTTTAGAACCAGACAGAGCAAAAGTATGCGAAGTAATACAACAATAGCTTTGAAGTTATTGATAGCTACCAATCAGAGATAGGTTTACAAGGGATAAATATAAACAAGAGCCGAGACTTGCGTCATCGTCCTGGTAGTCGGACTCGGCTGCGCCACAACGATACTTGGTAGTTAGCTGGGGCGGGAGAGCTCTGGTACAGGGGTTCTCAAAACCTGTCAGCTCAGGCACCACGGAAAGTCGAGGGGGGGGGGGGGAAATTATTGATGTAGTCCTTCTAGATTCCTTTTAAATATGTCCAAATGGACAGTCGCGATATGTTGTCATTTAATGGGGGATAAACAGACGTGAACAGCAACGGATAAACGGTGAAAATATAAAAGTCATCACGCCAGTGACATATACTTCCTTTACCTGGGAGACTGTTATTTTTTTAAAAGAAAAAAAAATCACGCACCATGCGAATTTGAACCTAGACTTCGGACCTGTAGTCGAATGTCTAGCCACTACACCACGGTAGCTCCAGGGCGAATGAGCCTAGGGAAGACCATCACCTTCTCTAAAGATGGAGCACGGCAATGGGAAGACAAAAAGGTAAATGGTTATTCGATCTGAGCGCGTGCTATAATCGGGACCAGAATAAAACAATCCAGGTTTAAGGTGATCGTGCCAGATGGAGCATCATGGCGGCTCACGCCTATCGCCTACATACCAAAAATAAGACATATCGACCTGGATGATTTGTCTGAACAAATGCACGTGTCACAACTGTTGTATCCTTATCTCAGATGAGTATCCGTCTCCTCCTCCTCCCGACACTACTGCATCTTCTTTTTCTTCTCCCCACCTTTCTGTCCTCTATGTTTTCCTGTCAAACACACGAGGTGGCTATTTAAGAATGGTGGCCAGCCACACACAAACTTACAAGGACATAATCTAATATTTGTGTTGCCAAGTTTTATGTTCATCGAAAGTTGCTTAGTTTTCTGAATACACGAAACACGGATGTTCAATAAATCCGGAACAAGGTGCAGCAACATACAATGAAATGAAAGAGTTTGGTGAGATCATGCAAAGAAACAACAAAACACTAGCATAAGTACATACCTGACACTGACTGTAGATTGTGACAGCTCATAGTAGGATCTATACAAGCAACACGTAAAATTTTTTCCATCCTGTAGTACTTATGTCCTGCCTCAACCATATCCTGAAATCTGCTTATTTAAAACAGCTAACACTGTTCTAAAACATAACAGTTTATCCAAATGTTTTCTGAACAGTACAGGACTTTCCCCGCGTCTGAGCTGCGTTTACTGTATGAATCTGGCAAGCTGTTTAAAAAAAAAATTCCAATTAGTATTGATGTGTACGGTGGTCACAGTTAAAATACTTGAATACTTTTCGTGAGTGCTAATCAATGCCCGTCTATTTGTTTATTATATACAGTCGAGTTCACGTAAGTCGAACTCAAGTAAGTCGAATTTCGGTCAAGTCGACATGATCAGCTTAGCCCTGGTAATTTTCTCTGTTGTGTGTGTTGTCTGGATAAGTAGAAGTCCTGATAAGTGGAAGCATTTTCTTAGGTCCCTGCGACTTCTACTTATCCAGACTCGACTGTAAAACATTCCGGGGTACTCACTTGGACTAGGTCCATCTGTGCCTGTCTGGTCTGTCAGTGTAGATTTTTGTCTACACCCCACCCCCCGCCACTTAAAAAAAAAGTTGCTGATGATGATGTAAAGATTACATCTTATTCCTTCATCTTTTGGCCTGTAATTGCTATTGTATATCTTTTAATAAACATCTTCTAATTCTCCACCTTCCCCTGTCAGTTCCCCATGCTCACATGCCAGTTGTTCCATCGCCCCTGTACCCGCCGTTTTCTCTCGTATCGTAATCGACGAGCCAGTATTGAGTCCGCCCAGTATCTCATGTCCACATGGTATTGGTCGGTGTCTGCCGTGATTTGTCATGTTTCCTTGTTGATGTCGTTTGTGACAACTGTTCTTCTTGTTTTCTTGTCAACATTAAGAAATAAACACGCCGCGAAAGCTCAGTAAAGCGTAGCTGGTGACCAGAAGCACGCAGGAAGCGGAACATTGGTACATTTATCTGCTGACGACATCGAGAGTTGGGTCGCGTCTGCTTGTCCGGTCCGACTCGGGGAGACAAGGTCACGGGTTTCAACCAGGCGCAGCACAAATTGTCTCGGAGATTTCCTTCTTATCAGCTCTTAGTTGGCTCATCTCACCTTCAAGAGCATTCTCGACATGTCTTCAACAGTACGTACCGTAGAAGAACTTATTAAAGAGGCAAATGAAGCTTTCCAGAAGAAATTTGGAGTCAAGCCTAGGCTAGCGGCCAAGGCGCCCGGACGTGTCAACTTGATCGGCGAACACACAGACTACAATGATGGATACGTCTTCCCCATGGTAAACTTTCACTTGTCCAACGTCGTTCTTGAACTTAAATGTTTACTCTGATAACAGCTGGCGCTGTAGTCTGTATTATTTATTTTAATACTATACACACCCAGTTATCGGAGAAGACGTCACAACAAACCAATTGACTGTTGACAGTAAATGATCTTTGGTTTGAAGCATTAAATTTCAGTTGCCTAGGACTGTTATCAGGACCCACAGGGCAGCAAAGAATGGTAATATTGCCCAACATACCATACATGTCGTAATGGGCGTTTTAACATACTTACCATGGGTTAGCTTGAGTTTGCTACCCCACCTTGCAGAAGATCTCAGCTGGCCAATAATGGAACTGCTGGGGCGGTTTGAAAAGTAATGACTCCAAAGACTTATCTTTGTTATATACATAAAGTACCTCATGATATAAACAGTTTCTGAAAGTTTGGGTTGACCTTTACGTAGGATGCCATTATTTTTTATTATAATAGTCATCACTACATTTGGCACATACACGCCACTGTGGAACAGGTTTTCGAAACCCGTCACGAGAAAAATTGGATGATTTCTTATGAAATCAGGAACACATCCTTGTCAGTCTTGTTCATAGTTTCTGCAGTGTTTCCAAAAAGTTGAGTTGACAGTACTGCCATGGTTTAAAAGTCATGCATGGATTAAGCCCTGGCGAATACGCTGTTCTTCAACGCGAGAATGCTCACCCATGCATGAGTAGACAAACAGCCGCAGCATTGGAGCGTCTCAACTTAAGGAACATCCCAGAAAAAACAGAAATGCTTCTTATAAGGTTGTGGCAGCTGATCTACACTCTTGGTTTTATAAGTCTTCCCGACCGGATGCAGGAACCTGTCCCATGCTAGCGGGTGTGTGTGTATGAAATTTGGTGGTGACTACATTGAAAAATAATGGCACATTACTTAAAGGACATTCCAAGCTTTTGGAAAATGTATATTTCATGTGTACTTTATTTATATTAACAACATTAGACTATCTTCCGAATAACGGTCCCAAATTATCGAGGCTGAAAATATACCCTAACGGTTACATGTAAATTGCGGACTTCTGCCACTGCCGAGGGTATCTCCTACGCCAACACACACGGCGTGGATTGGGGCTAAACTAGATGTGTGGGACTCACTGGCAAGTAAAATGAATGTAGCTGCAGGAGATGCAGTAGCTGCTGCTTGTGAATCCCTGCCATCTAGTTTAACCCCATGCGTAGCAGCGTGGTAGATACTCTTGACGGTGGTGGTAGTCGCCGGAAGTGCGCAATTTAAGTTGCTGGAAGTCCGCAATTTACATGGGACTGAGGCCCTGTTAGGGGATATTTTCGACTTCGATAATTTGGGACCGTTATTCGGAAGATAGCCCAACATTATATCCTTGGAGGCATTATTTTTCAAACTGTCTTATTATGAACATTGAACAGGTCTACAAAGATTATAAAGTATAATTTTCATTTTACTTTAGATTTTTGACTAATTTCCAGATATATCCATATTTTCTATTCCTGTATAGGTTACTTTAAGTTCAGGTATATTTTATATTTGCTTTCCATCTTGGATAGGTTACATGTGAAAAATTGATACACCTTTCAAGATCGCAACTAGAATATCCTTCCTCTGGAACCCACACATGACATCCAAAAGTAATTGGAGGATATCGCTATACTCCGAATAATGGTCCCAAATTATCAAGGCTAAGAAAATACCCTAACAGGGCCTCATTTGTAAATTGTGGACCTCTTCCTGGCGACCACACCGCATACCATGGGAAAGCTTCCGCCAAGTTAATTCACTGCCGAGAGTTTCCCCCGCGCCGCTACGTGCGGCATGGAAAGGGGCTAAACTAGATGACTGGGACTCACAAGCAGCAGCTACCGCATCTCCGGCAGCTTTCTCCATTTTATTTGCTCATGAGTCCCAGCCATCTATTTAGTGGCGCAGGGAATACTCTCGGCGGTGGCGGTATAGTCACCGGAAAGAAGTCCGCAATTTACATATGACTGAGGCCCTGTTGGGGTATTTTCTTAGCCTCAATAATTTGGGACTGTTATTCGGAGGATAGCCGAGGATATCTGCACAGAGAAAAGAATGAGAAATGTATGGGTACAATATTGGAGAAGCTGCAGGAAATAGCAGTGCCTAAGGTTATTTTTCTTATAATTGTTTGAGGGCTTGTGAGTTGGCTGGGAGTCTGTGCTCCACTGGAGCATGAAAGGCAGCTGAATTTATTACTGTAGATCCTTGCATTCCTTAGTGCTGATATTGGAACACTTATAAAGTTTAAATAGCTGAGAGTTAAGATAACAGGTTGGTCTGAAAGATTGAAAATACTTTATGGTGTCTCCTCCTCCAAGGCCCTGCCCATGGTTACAGTTGTGGTTGGCAACCCGACGGAGTCTGGAGTATGCAGAGTGGAGACACTTGCGGCTGGTGTCGATCCCAGTTACACTGAGTTTCCACTGAATGACCTCAAACCCGGAAGCCCCAAGTGGTGCAACTATGTCAAGGGAGTGGCAGCTCAGATGCCAGGTGATTACATCTGTAGAGTCGTAGTGTAGGGGCTTCCTCTTCTTCTTCCCTTTCTCCAGTTAGCTCATTCAGGAAAGTCTTGAAGAAAAGGGAGGGGGGTGTAAGGAACTTCTGTGTGCGGTTTCTGATGCATTGTATAATTTGATCTTCATTTTATTAATACTGTTCTTGATGTCATTCCATATCCTGCATGGTCTTCCTCTTGATCTGTGTTCATTATATTTTTTCAGCATGGCAGTTGGTACCAGGGCATTCTCGTCAGATGGCCAGACCATCTCATGTGCCCTTTTTTTTAACTGAATTGTATGACTGGTTTTAGCCACATTCTTTTAATTTTAACTTTGATGTCTTCTTGTGATGACTCCAGCAGCTCATCCTAGCTATCTCTCATCCCTGTTATGATTGGTCACTCAGTTGCAGTAAAGCCCCAAGTAGAGCACTGGTAGTATAGTCTCCCACTTCCCTGACTTGCTTGTGCACATATGTTGATTTCTCTGCCCTTTTCTCCTTTAGTGTGAAAACTGATCATCATAGATATTTGAATTGATATGTTTGCTTTATCTGCATTATTTTTTTTTTAATTTATGTGGTTGTTAAGCTACCCCCATTGTCTCCATTTTTTAAAGGCTTATTTTCATATATTTTGGGAACTTATTGTTGACTTGATTGAGATGGTTTTGGAGATTTCTGTTTCTGCTACTATACTTAGTCATCTGCAAATAGCAGTTCTGAAATTTCTTCTTTCTTTGCTTTTAAAAAAAGTTTTATCAATGTATGTTATAAAAATTAGCAGAGATAGCACACATCCCTGTCATACTCCTGAATTCACTTCAAAAGATTTTGAGGTCCCTGACTGTAGTCATGTGCAGCTATCATTTATATAAACTCTTACAAACTTTGATAAGATGTTTGCTAAATCCATATATTTTTTGGCAACCCTACCAGATATTTTTGCCTGTTCTGTTGAAAGTTGTTTTCCTGGTCTATAAATGCAGCTTTATAGGTCCTGTCATATTCTATTGCTTGTCCAGTAATGTTAATATCACATCTGTGCAGCTTCTGCTTCTTTTGAACCCTAGTTGAGCATTTGAGATTTGTTCTTCCAATAATGGTCTTTAATCTTCTTTTGATTGATTTGGCTTACATTTTCCCTGTCTGACTTTGTAGCGATATTCCTCTATAATTAGTTTAATCTTACTTACTGCCTTTGCTTTCCCATAACTGTATGATTATTTCTGTCTGCTAATCATCTGCAGTTTCCTGGTCTAATCAAGTTACCTGGAAAACATGCCTGAGCCACGTTACTCCTAATTCTCCAACTGCTTTGGTGGCTTCTGCAGGTCAATCATTTTGTGCTCGGTTGCAGAGTTTCTCACACTGGCTAACTTCTGCTAATAAAATTTCTGCTGCTTGTGTGTCTTCCCAGTTTGCCCCAATGTGGGGAAACAAGAATAGACCCACTATCTCACCAAACAAGCATGTCATAATAGTCGACTAATTCGGGGCATCCTTCAAAGTCAGAGTGGATCTGTCCGAGACACAAGGAACCATGAGTCTGCAGACAAATAAGCCAGATCTGTAACACAGATGTCTATGCTACACCCAGGTTCTGGAACAAGACTAAACTAAAGTCCAGAAGTGGGTGAAAAACCAGAACTTTCTGCCGGTATTTACGAACATAAAGAAGAAGTGTCTGTCTCATCTATGTTTATGATATAATGCTGTTGTGGTTGCTGCAGATCATAGTCAGTTTGGTAGCCTCATCTCTGTCAACCCATCGGTGGCCTCATCTCTGTAATCCCATCGAGGGCCTCATCTCTGTCAACCCATCGGTAGCCTCATCTCTGTCAACCCATCAGTGGCCTCATCTCTGTCAACCCATCGAGGGCCTCATCTCTGTCAACCCATCGGTGGCCTCATCTCTGTCAACCCATCGGTGGCCTCATCTCTGTCAACCCATCGGTGGCCTCATCTCTGTCAACCCATCGGTGGCCTCATCTTTGTAAACCCATCGGTGGCCTCATCCCTGTCAACCCATCGGTGGCCTCATCCCTGTCAACCCATCGGTGGCCTCATCCCTGTCAACCCATCGGTGGCCTCATCCCTGTCAACCCATCGGTGGCCTCATCTCTGTCAACCCATCGGTGGCCTCATCTCTGTCAACCCATCGGTGGCCTCATCCCTGTCAACCCATCGGTGGCCTCATCTCTGTCAACCCATCGGTGGCCTCATCTCTGTCAACCCATCGGTGGCCTCATCTCTGTCAACCCATCGGTGGCCTCATCTCTGTCAACCCATCTGTGGCCTCATCTCTGTCAACCCATCGGTGGCCTCATCCCTGTCAACCCATCTGTGGCCTCATCTCTGTCAACCCATCTGTGGCCTCATCTCTGTCAACCCATCGGTGGCCTCATCCCTGTCAACCCATCGGTGGCCTCATCCCTGTCAACCCATCGGTGGCCTCATCTCTGTCAACCCATCGGTGGCCTCATCTCTGTCAACCCATCGGTGGCCTCATCCCTGTCAACCCATCTGTGGCCTCATCTCTGTCAACCCATCGGTGGCCTCATCCCTGTCAACCCATCTGTGGCCTCATCTCTGTCAACCCATCGGTGGCCTCATCCCTGTCAACCCATCTGTGGCCTCATCTCTGTCAACCCATCTGTGGCCTCATCTCTGTCAACCCATCGGTGGCCTCATCTCTGTCAACCCATCGGTGGCTGAGATGGCTGTTGTTGCCATTTTATCAAAATGCTGACAGAGACACTGTCTTGTAGTAAACATTCAGTCACTTAACCACACAGCATTCCATGAGCATGCTTAAGAAGGCAGAGACACGATGGATTCAAAGAAAATAAGAGTTGCTGAGGAAATCCTGTCTGATAGAAATTACATTTTTATGCCTGGACACTCTGGTGTAAGAGGGAATGAATTAGCGGATTGGCTTGTTGGCAGGGCCGCGTTAGGTGCAGGAAAAGCAGTGGACTGACATTCTCATTTCTCTCAAGGAGGAAGGATGGGAAGATGATTCAGAAGATGACATTGAATCAGGAAAGACTGCAAGAACATCAGGTCTAAAGAGATGTCACCAAACATGATCACTATACAGGTAGCCGAAGAAGAATAGTAAACAAACACATGTGTTACCGGTCACCATACGCTGAGGGATATAACCTATCAGTTAGTTAACTTAGCCAGACCATCTAATAAATTGCATTCCAACATTAAATGACTAACACGAAAACAGAACATGTTGCTTTAACAAAAAACATTAAAATTTTTGTTGCAGGCAAAATCCCATCCTTCGATGCAGTCATAGCTTCCTCAGTGCCTCTTGGTGGTGGAGTTAGTAGCTCTGCATCTGTGGAAGTCGCAGTTTATACATTTTTAGAACAAATTATGGCCGAGCCAGACATTGAGACAACGGTCACGGACAAGATCTTGCGGTGTCAGAAAGCAGAACATGAATATGCTGGCATGCCGTGTGGTATCATGGATCAGTTCATTTCTGTGCTGGGCAAAGAAGGTCATGCTTTGCTCATAGACTGCAGGTGGATATGTTTTTTCAATTTCATATTTATTCAGTTACTTATGGTTAATTTATTTTAGCACATATTTTAGTGGCAGCCATGTTGGCTGGGCGGTCGTATTGAGCTAACAACACCTATATATGAATTAGAATGATATAGAGTTTTAATATCCCTCGCCCATGCCAAGTTGGCAAGGCACCTGATGATGACTGTTGTATCTTATCAGTGTTATTGTTCCATGTTGTTCCTGTTATATCAATTGTTATAGTTCATGTAATTCCTGTTCATAGGTACCTGACATTCCTGTTATATTTTATACATTCAGTGTTATTGTTCCAAACGCTTTTTAGCTGTTAGAGGGGCAACATTTTGTATTGCATCTGCTCAGTGCTTTTGTTCCATGTTGTGTATTGGTTAATGTTTTTGTTCCACTCAGGGCCAAAGAAGGCCGCCTGGTTCCCATGTTGGACTCGTCTGTGGTTGTTCTGGTGACCAACTCCAATGTGAAGCATGAACTGACCGGTTCTGAATACCCAACCAGGCGTAAACAGTGCCAGACTGCAGCCAAGATCCTGGGTGTTCCAAGTTTGAGAGACGCCACCGAGCTTGAACTTGAGAGTAAGTTATTTCCTGTATGCAGCTTTAGTGGTTACATTGTTGGCTTTTGGTGGCAGAGGGATCTGATTTCTGACTGGTGGTAGAAGGATCTGATTTCTGACTGGTGGTAGAAGGATCTGATTTCTGACTGGTGGTAGAAGGATCTGATTTCTGACTGGTGGTAGAGGGATCTGATTTCTGACTGGTGGTAGAAGGATCTGATTTCTGACTGGTGGTAGAAGGATCTGATTTCTGACTGGTGGTAGAAGGATCTGATTTCTGACTGGTGGTAGAAGGATCTGATTTCTGACTGGTGGTAGAAGGATCTGATTTCTGACTGGTGGTAGAAGGATCTGATTTCTGACTGGTGGTAGAAGGATCTGATTTCTGACTGGTGGTAGAGGGATCTGATTTCTGACTGGTGGTAGAAGGATCTGATTTCTGACTGGTGGTAGAAGGATCTGATTTCTGACTGGTGGTAGAAGGATCTGATTTCTGACTGGTGGTAGAAGGATCTGATTTCTGACTGGTGGTAGAAGGATCTGATTTCTGATTGTTGGCTTTTGGTGGCAGAGGGATCTGATTTCTGACTGGTGGTAGAAGGATCTGATTTCTGATTGTTGGCTTTTGGTGGCAGAGGGATCTGATTTCTGACTGGTGGTAGAAGGATCTGATTTCTGATTGTTGGCTTCTGGTGACAGAGGGATCTGATTTCTGACTTGACAGAGGGATCTGATTTCTGACTGTTGATTTCTGGTGACAGAGAGATCTGATTTCTGATTGTTGGCTTCTGGTGAAAGAGGAATCTGATTTATGACTGTTGGCTTCTGGTGACAGAGGGATCTGATTTCTGACTGTTGACAGAGGGATCTGATTTCTGACTGTTGACAAAGGGATCTGATTTCTGACTGGCGACAGAGGGATCTGATTTCTGACTGGCGACAGAGGGATCTGATTTCTGACTGGTGACAGAGGGATCTGATTTCTGACTGTTGATTTCTGGTGACAGAGAGATCTGATTTCTGATTGTTGGCTTCTGGTGACAGAGGGATCTGATTTCTGACTGGTGGCAGAGGGATCTGATGTCTGATTGTTGGCTTCTGGTGACAGAGGGATCTGATTTCTGACTGGTGACAGAGGGATCTGATTTCTGACCACGATTCTGCATAAATCAGTCTACCAAAATAAGTTGTCAGGGGCCCCTGTCAGCCATAAACTTTATTATGATGCACACAACAATAAATAAAGAGCCTAACAACTGACTATGTGAAACTGGCATAGTAGACATTTTGGTGCTGGAACAGGAGGGTAGCAGCAGGGTCTTGGTGCATCAACAGTAATGTCTATGGTAGGCTTAGGTCATGGTATAGGTGGCAGGGTATCACATGGAAGCAAGGATGGTGACACAGTAACCTGCTATGCATGTCATAAAGGCAACTATGGAGGGTTGGTATGTGACCTACCTTATCGGGTAGAAAGCTATTTACAAAGCTGGATCAGCCATAAACAAGTCTACACAGGTATGACTGAAGGAGCATTTAAGGCAACATGGAAGCTGAGTAAAAGGATTTAGTGGTCAGATATGAATCCTGTCCCTATTCCATGGTTGTGGATTCAGCTGTATGATAGGCTTGCCTCTCTGAGGGGAGTCAGATTGGCCACCTGTCAAACTATTCTTGTTTTCTGCATGACGCTATTATCATAGAAATGTGACAGGTTTGATTTGGTATAGTTACTGTATAGCTGTTTACTTGATCTAGTCTATCTACATCTACCTCTTCCCCCTCAACTCTTTCATTGTCAATCAATACCTCTCACCACTCTTAGTGCCAACCAGTACCTCTCAACTCTCTGAGTGCCAACCAGTACCTCTCAACTCTCTGAGTGCCAACCAGTACCTCTCAACTCTGAGTGCCAACTAGTACCTCTCAACTCTGAGTGCCAACCAGTACCTCTCAACTCTGAGTGCCAACCAGTACCTCTTAACTCTCTGAGTGCCAACCAATACCTCTAAACTCTCTGAGTGCCAAGAGTGTACTGAGGCCTGTTTGATGACTAAATTCCTTGCTGATTACAGGAAAGAAAGAGGAGCTGGATGAGGAGACATATCGCCGGGTCAGGCATGTGGTGTCTGAGATTCGGAGAACAGTTGATGCTGCAGCTGCCCTGGAGAATGGAGACTATAACACCTTTGGAAACATGATGGTGGCCAGTCATAACTCTCTGAGGTATGTTTGATCTGCTTTCTGGTGGAAGATTTCCTTCTGCTGAAATTACATCTGATGTTTATATCTTATCTGTTTAAAGTTTGTCTCTGATTGTGGAAGTTTAGATTTTATCTGTTTAAATTTAATCTTTAGTTGTGGATGGTTGCATCTTATCTGTTTGTGTTATGTATGTTTGTTCATGCCAGCTGTGATTATGGGGTGGCTTACATATCCTGTCTTGTAGTCATGAGTGTCCATGCTAACCTGGCCTCCAAGATCAAGTCACCAGTAGCTCTGTGAGGAAATATTCTGGGAAGTAAAAGTGGCTTCTGTGATACTGATATCGATCCAGAACTGGTTTGTACATAGAAATGTAGGGTCATCATATGTGTTGGTCTGTTTGCCAGAGATGATCATAAAGTTTCCTGTGTTTGTCTGTTTGCAGAGATAGTTATGAAGTCTCCTGTGTGTGTCTGTTTACCAGAGATAGTTATGAAGTCTGTGTTTGTTTATTTACCAGAGATGATTACGAAGTCTCCTGTGTTTGTCTGTTTACCAGAGATGATTACGAAGTCTCCTGCAAAGAACTGGATCAGTTAGTGGAGTATGCCATGGAGATGAAACCACACGGAGTCTACGGGTCCAGAATGACAGGAGGGGGCTTTGGGGGTTGTACCGTGACCTTGTTGAAAGCCACAGCTGTAGATAAAGTCATTGACCATATACATGTAAGTACTGAGGTTTTTTCTTCCTGATCACATTAATTTATAAAACAATTTTTGTTTCTTATTCATTGTTTGCTTGGTACGGTTTGCTGTTGTATAATTTCTAGCTGAGTGGTCATTGAGATATACTGAAGTGATCATTGAGATATACTGAAGTGGTCATTGAGATATACTGAAGTGGTCATTGAGATATACTGAAGTGGTCATTGAGATATACTGAAGTGGTCATTGAGATATACTGAAGTGGTCATTGAGATATACTGAAGTGGTCATTGAGATACACTGAAGTGGTCATTGAGATACACTGAAGTGGTCATTGAGATATACTGAAGTGGTCATTGAGATATACTGAAGTGGTCATTGAGATACACTGAAGTGGTCATTGAGATATACTGAAGTGGTCATTGAGATACACTGAAGTGGTCATTGAGATATACTGAAGTGGTCATTGAGATATACTGAAGTGGTCATTGAGATATACTGAAGCAAGGATCTAATCATACATCTTTTAGTTTGTGGAAAGACCGCACACCACTGCCTCCACAAGCATGTCATAAGAGTTGACTAATGAGGGTCATGGAAGTCAGAATACCTCTGCCTGAGCCTGTCTAGTTCATGTTGTAGCATTTGTTCCATTTCATGCCTGTCTAGTTCATGCTGTAGCATTTGTTCCATTTCATGCCTGTCTAGTTCATGTTGTAGCATTTGTTCCATTTCATGCCTGTCTAGTTCATGTTGTAGCATTTGTTCCATTTCATGCCTGTCTAGTTCATGTTGTAGCATTTGTTCCATTTCATGCCTGTCTAGTTCATGTTGTAGCATTTGTTCCATTTCATGCCTGTCTAGTTCATGTTGTAGCATTTGTTCCATTTCATGCCTGTCTAGTTCATGTTGTAGCATTTGTTCCATTTCATGCCTGTCTTGTTCATGTTGTAGCATTTGTTCCATTTCATGCCTGTCTAGTTCATGTTGTAGCATTTGTTCCATTTCATGCCTGTCTAGTTCATGTTGTAGCATTTGTTCCATTTCATGCCTGTCTAGTTCATGCTGTAGCATTTGTTCCATTTCATGCCTGTCTAGTTCATGTTGTAGCATTTGTTCCATTTCATGCCTGTCTAGTTCATGTTGTAGCATTTGTTCCATTTCATGCCTGTCTAGTTCATGTTGTAGCATTTGTTCCATTTCATGCCTGTCTAGTTCATGTTGTAGCATTTGTTCCATTTCATGCCTGTCTAGTTCATGCTGTAGCATTTGTTCCATTTCATGCCTGTTTCTTCCTCTATTATGCACAACAAAAATAGTAGTCAGGGTTTATTAGATTTAATAAATTAGTTTTTTTAAATGCTGAAATTTTAGTTAAAATCCTTTTATGTAGATTTAGTTCAGTCATGAGACTAGCCTGATCTTGTAGCAGTAGGACGATCAGTATGTTGAGAGAGACCTTGTGAAGTATTTTTCAGTAGAATTAATTCATGTTGCTTTATGATAAGTAGATGTAATTCTGTCGTGATGCACCCAACGAGATGCAGTGAGATAAACCTTGTGATAAATTGTACTATTTTTGTGTCCGCATTATTTAAACTTGACCCTGTGTCTGATTTCAGAAAAAATACAGCTCACTTGGAAACAAAGCAACGTTTTTTGTGTGTCCACCTTCGGATGGAGCTAGCAAGATAAGTCTTTGAAACTGAACACAGATTTCAGCCGTAGACAATCTTTCCACATTGTTGTATAACTGTGGGATAACTTTCAAGAATATCATTCTAATATAATAATGGTTAATGTTGTTTATTTGTTGCATTTATGTTTAATGGTGAAACTTTTAGCACAAATGGTACGCAACCCATTCACTCATGGCTGGGTCTATACTGGCCTCAGACTTGTGCAGATCACAAGGAAGCAGAGACATTGTTGGTCAAGAGCACAGCTAATTACATCCACAGCTGATTTAGCAAAGCTCAGTGGCAATTCCATTAAAATGTCAGCCCTCTTTTGCCTCAGAAACACACCAGCACATTAGAACTGTTTCAACGAAGTGCTCAGTTTTCACTGGACGCTGAAACACCGTCATGTGCTGTTTGTTCAGCTAACATCTGCCCATAGTTAGATTCTGTTTGATCAGCTAACATCTGCCCATAGTTAGATTCTGTTTGTTCAGCTAACATCTGGCCATAGTTAGATTCTGTTTGTTCAGCTAACATCTGGCCATAGTTAGATTCTGTTTGTTCAGCTAACATCTGCCCATAGTTAGATTCTGTTTGTTCAGCTAACATCTGCCCATAGTTAGATTCTGTTTGTTCAGCTAACATCTGCCCATAGTTAGATTCTGTTTGTTCAGCTAACATCTGGCCATAGTTAGATTCTGTTTGTTCAGCTAACATCTGGCCATAGTTAGATTCTGTTTGTTCAGCTAACATCTGCCCATAGTTAGATTCTGTTTGTTCAGCTAACATCTGCCCATAGTTAGATTCTGTTTGTTCAGCTAACATCTGCCCATAGTTAGATTCTGTTTGTTCAGCTAACATCTGCCCATAGTTAGATTCTGTTTGTTCAGCTAACATCTGGCCATAGTTAGATTCTGTTTGTTCAGCTAACATCTGGCCATAGTTAGATTCTGTTTGTTTAGCTAACATCTGGCCATAGTTAGATTCTGTTTGTTCAGCTAACATCTGGCTATAGTTAGATTCTGTTTGTTCAGCTAACATCTGCCCATAGTTAGATTCTGTTTGTTCAGCTAACATCTGGCCATAGTTAGATTCTGTTTGTTCAGCTAACATCTGGCCATAGTTAGATTCTGTTTGTTCAGCTAACATCTGGCTATAGTTAGATTCTATTTGATCAGCCAACATCTGCCCATAGTTAGATTCTGTTTGTTCAGCTAACATCTGCCCATAGTTAGATTCTGTTTGTTCAGCTAACATCTGGCCATAGTTAGATTCTGTTTGATCAGCTAACATCTGGCCATAGTTAGATTCTGTTTGTTCAGCTAACATCTGGCCATAGTTAGATTCTGTTTGTTCAGCTAACATCTGCCCATAGTTAGATTCTGTTTGTTCAGCTAACATCTGCCTATAGTTAGATTCTGTTTGTTCAGCTAACATCTGGCCATAGTTAGATTCTGTTTGTTTAGCTAACATCTGGCCATAGTTAGATTCTGTTTGTTCAGCTAACATCTGGCCATAGTTAGATTCTGTTTGTTCAGCTAACATCTGCCCATAGTTAGATTCTGTTTGTTCAGCTAACATCTGCCCATAGTTAGATTCTGTTTGTTCAGCTAACATCTGGCCATAGTTAGATTCTGTTTGTTTAGCTAACATCTGGCCATAGTTAGATTCTGTTTGTTCAGCTAACATCTGGCTATAGTTAGATTCTGTTTGATCAGCCAACATCTGGCCATAGTTAGATTCTGTTTGTTCAGCTAACATCTGGCCATAGTTAGATTCTGTTTGTTCAGCTAACATCTGGCCATAGTTAGATTCTGTTTGTTCAGCTAACATCTGGCCATAGTTAGATTCTGTTTGATCAGCTAACATCTGGCCATAGTTAGATTCTGTTTGATCAGCTAACATCTGGTCATAGTTAGATTCTGTTTGATCAGCTAACATCTGGTCATAGTTAGATTCTGTTTGTTCAGCTAACATCTGGCCATAGTCAGATTCTGTTTGTTCAGCTAACATCTGGTCATAGTTAGATTCTGTTTGTTCAGCTAACATCTGGCCATAGTTAGATTCTGTTTGATCAGACAGCACATTCTGGTCTGATTGTTTGTTGTAGTTACTGCTGCTGATGATGATGATTGTCAATTCATTGAAAGAGATCTATAGTTTGTTCCTGTCCTCGTGAAGAAACAAACAAGCCAGGCTGTATATATGAGTGGCTTCACCATTGTGGGTGTTTATTTTTGAGGGTTTGAAAATTTGTGCATAATTTTGAAAACTATTGGACAAATATAATTTTTTTTGGTATGGTTTATATTATTTTCATTGTTATTTTGTATTATTTTCTAGCATATAATTTTTCTGTGAACTTTCTCTGTTCTAAGATCATGTATTGTGTGGGCTTGTCAGCTCTTTCATTGCCCGTACCACTTGTAAGTTTTGAGGTCTTCTGCACGTAGGTAATCATCAGTGGCTATACCATCTTTCACACACACACACACACTGCTGGAAGACGGCGTCTTTGTCATGTTGGAGAAAGCTGGTAAACACATGATATCCCACAACTTTTCAGTATCTGACTATAGTGATTGTTCAGATTTTGAGTTCTTCCCTTTCTCTTGTCCTGTTTCGGTATTGAGAAAGTATTAGGGTTACTGTTCATGCTCTTCTGGCCACTTCCGGCATCACGTGTGGCACTGTTGTGGAGTTTTGAATGTTATCTAAGCAGTCCATTTATATCTCATTGTATTCTCTGTAGCGATAACTAATCCACTGCCGGCTTGCTAGGTCTGTCACAACTTTTACTGGAGCCCTATTGGCCAGGATGTTTTTTGACCAAGGATGGCTTTCACGACTATCGTAGCAGGCCCGTGACACAAGGCTACACTACATAGGGCGCAGTCCTAGCAGTCCCTCTCTATGTCCCGTTCACATCTCGCCATGTGGGGTTGGACATTGACAGAGAGAGAGAGAGAGAGGGGGGGGGGGGGGGGGGGGGGGGAGAGGTGTTGACTTGCAAGAAAAAAAATAATACTTAGGACAATTGCATTGTTGAATAAAATGACTTATATATGCATTGTTTTTGTGTGCCAATATCTAGCATGTGATAAATACTGATAGTTGCTCATGTCCAATATAAAAGATGTGATGACAAAGCTGTACAAATGTTGTTGTTACAGTTGTCAAAAACTAGTGCATTAGAGTCAGGTTTTCTCCTTCAGTATGTTCCCAGTTATTGGCAGACGGATTGGTTTGGTTGGTTTATACAATGAATCAACATGACACAAGGGTAGTAACCCATAAGTGCTCCATTCTACTTCTAACTCAAGCCTAAGTCCAAAGAATCTCAGCACAGTGCACCAAATCCATAGCACCGGCAAGGATCCTAAATTACTTGGGTAGAATTTTAGCTCCAAATTTGTCCAGGCAGCGCTGTTAGGCTACTCTTTTCGATTTCCAACTGCCAAGGGTTTTGTATGTGTGCACCAATACATAAGGGCATTCGATCTGACCACCCAGAGACTAAGGGAAATTACAAGATGGATGCCATGCCTCAAGACCACACAGCCCCCTTGGATAGTTTCTTGGTCAAGTATCTGCGATAGTAAATAGTCACATTCAAAATTTGTCAGTGTTGTTGATCCATAACATAAACCGAACAGAGGACAGGGTAAATGACAGCAAGACAGAATGTATTTATATGAGAATGGATTTGTCCAATGTATTTTAGCAATCATTGTCATGACTGTCACTTATGACTGCAACAAGCCTAGATCTGTCATGACTGCAGCAGTCCCCTCTCTTGCTGACTTGATGACTTGACAATTTCATGTGGTAAAATGTCTACAACAGCAACAATGTACATGTTGACACAAGCACAGCCTGATCATATGTTTATGTTGTTCAGCTCATTCCATTTTTTTTTTCATCATATTAATTTGCACCCTAGTTTCAATGTCCTTTTGTCTCTAGCTTGTTTTATATTAGGCACTTTGGGCTTTTGAATTTTAATGTCACTGGGAAAATGACTAGAATGTTGTTGATGAAATGATAATACTATTTAAAAGATCTGAGTATGTAAGACAAATTGGCTCTTAAACAGAATGGAAATTGGAAAACTTGGGCATGTTTAGCATAAGAGTGGTTTACAGTATTAGATGGCATGCATTGTGGAGAAAGTTGACACAGCAGTGAAGACAAGAGGCTGGAAGACTGACAGAAGATAGAATGCCTAAAGCAGGTTGTGGAGAAAGTTGACACAGCATGAAGACATGATGCTGGGAGACTGACAGAAGATAGAATCCCTAAAGCAGGTTGTGATAAGTTCAACAGTGTATATAGAATGTGTTGCGTTTACTTTCATTTGGATGTCAGCCACCTATAATTAACTTTAACAACAAACAGAACGTAACCTGATAAAATGATTTCCATCATGTTACTTTTTACTTTTATTTGCAGTGAATATATTGTTTGTACTGTTGTCAAGCCTCTTAATATGGTTTGTAGATTTAAAAATGTGCACATTGTATATTTATAAGTTCTGCTGTGAACGATATGTTAAACATTTAAATCTGTATATGGTGGGCATTTCATCACTTATACTGTTTTGGTATGAACTGTCAGCAAGTGTTTCATTGTTCAGGATTTATTAATGTCTTATTTGCTGACATTATGCTATGATGGTTAGTAAGCTTGCCTGCCAAGACAGTGGTAGGGGTTCAATAGATAACTGGTTTTCCCTGACCAGCGTGGTTAGTTCTAGCATTGTCCCAGGCTCAAAGACATAGCTACCTGACATTCGTATGCATTTTCTGGGTTGCAAAGGCTGCAAGCTCTGGAAACCCATCTTGTGTGTCTTGAAACGAAAGAGCTGACAGATTAGCTGGTTCTGCCATAGTTACAGATGGCCGACAGTGGATCGTGAAAGAAAAGATTGTGGGAGTGCAGCCACATCACTGCTGAGAATGAGAGAATTGGAAGTGATGATTCGCTAAGCCAGACATGAGAGTTGTATCAGACGTGTGGGA